AAATATCTGAAGAAGTGAGAGGGTTTTTTTTATTCAAAGACTTGAATCTTGATTCAATATATTTAATGGTACCATCAATTAATGCATGGAGATCTTTATCAGATTTCATGTCAACAGACTGGACATTTCTTGTACTTATGCCCCCCAAGGGTGACTGGGGAATAGAAGTATGGTCACCATTGGTGTTCCTCCGACCGGCAGTAAAACCCTTGCTAAAGTGGGGTGTCCATTTGGCTGTGCGGGATGTACAAATTTGCAGCCACGTCTGGTCAGAATGGGGACGTTAAATCCGATGCCTTGTGTAAAGAAAGTGCCACGCTCTTTGCACGTTAAGAATCCTTGCAACAACTCTTTGAGGGGTCCGTAGGTGACCTGTTGCAAGGTAAAATTTCTGTCCCTATCCAATAAACCCTCATTTCCCGTGGCAGTCTAAATTTCTGCGACCTTAATCCTGGAAGCCCCTATTACAGAACCTACCTATTGTATTTATTGTTAACTTGTTCTCGTCCTGAATATGCATGAAATATTTGCCACTGGATGTTAAGCAACCAACAATCAATCAATCAATCTTGTACTTATTTTTATTTCCCCAAATGTTTTGTTTGTTACATCAAATTTCTCTACAAATTGTGTACAATATTTCCCAGTACCATTTTTCAATTGAGTAAGATGGATGATGGATGACAGCTGCTTCGATGTGATCATTTAATTCAATTACTAACTAATCATCAAGTTGAAAAGTACGGGAAAGCTTTGCCACTATGGGTAAGTAGTCCATTAGGAAATGGAGAAACTTAAGAAATTTGACAGATGTAATAACAGTGTGGTACCCTTTAGCTCTATTTGCATCATCAGCACGGTATCCAGCAACAAAATCATGCTCTAAATGACTTACAACAACCTCATAATTTGAAAGCATTGCTTTTACTGCCCTTTCCTTGCTTGACAACCAGCGTACTTGTTTTATATCACCAAAGTGCAAAAGAATTTGATCAAGAATCTCACTTATTTCTGTAAGTTCACGTCTGCGCTTAGGAGAATAATAGTAGAACTTGAAAACCCCTTTCAATGTGGTTTCAAATGTTGACATGTATGGAATAGTTTTATTCGCATCAAGTATTGCCAATTCAAGTTTGTGAGTAATACAGTGAATACCAATTGCTTGCGGTACCTCATCTTTCAATCTTTTGAAGACACCAGATTTGTTACCAAAATTAACAGAAGCTCGGTCAAAATTACCACAAATAAGTTTAGGACCAGGGGTATCATGGCAGATCTTTTCCTCATTTAGGCCCACAATTTTAAGAGCACTAAAAATTGCATTGAAAATCCCTTCTGCTGTAGCTGATTCTAAGGATATAAGATTAATCATTTTAGTGGTGGGCATACACTGGTCAACATATCAGAGATAAACTATTTCCTGTTCAATAACAGACCTGTCAGTACTACCATCTGACAAAATACTAACAAATGGTGCTGCAAGTAAACTTGAGACAATTCGTGATCTTAATTGCTGGGATATCCATTTAAGGAACAGTTTACATCCCTCAATGTTGAAATACTGTTCTCCTATATCAACCTAATTTTTTTTCTGTACTTCTAAAATAAATTCATAGTTTGAAAAAGGCTTCCCCTTTTTCCCCACACTATAAGCTGTATTAAATAAAATCTTGTATCGTTTTAATTGTTCTGGTCTCAGACCTGCCAACTATCCCGATTTTGGCGGTATCATCCCGATTTTCATGCCTCAACCCGAATCCCGATATCAGGATCGTAAAACAAGTTAAAACCCCGATTTTCACAAAATATACCTGAAAATATAATGGTTACCGATTTTGAAGTTTTTCTGATCAATTTCTATAAATCTATAATTTTCATAAATGGCGACATATTTATGACAAGTTTATGACCCTACGCTAATCAACGGTCACAACAGGTGTCATAATTTGTTGTTACATGTAATCGGCTAATCTGATGGGTCATGAATAACAATCTTCAAAATTAATCATATGATCACAATTTGCAACGTTTACCGTAGTTTCATGACAAAATCGTAATTAAATGAAAGACAAAAACTGTAATGAACTCATTAGATGACATGGTTTATCTTGAAATCTGTTAAAATTTTTGAAATCAGACGTGTTTCTGTCCAGTTCTGATTTAAAATCTACGCCATTTTGTATTCACTTCTACTGTGTATAAGCCTCCGCCAGTAAGAGCACAAAGAAAGATAACTCAAATTTTATCCATTTTCTTTTTAATACTGATAGACTAACTCAAAATCTGTCTTCATCCTTCTAACTTTATTTAGGTTTAGGTTTAGGTCTTTTGAGTCATGGTGCAAAGATAAGACGGTCTTTGGAGGGGAAAAAAGGAGGGGTCTTCACTTTGTATCCTTTATTTTTTATGCCATTTTTCTCTATTCTTAAGTTATTTTGCCAAATAATAAGTACAAGAATCATGCAAATAAAAGAAATCAAGGCTTATTAGCTCATCATCAGTATACCAAAAGAAAAAAGAAGAGATATGAGACTATTTCAAGAGTAAAAAACAGTGCACACAGAAACGCCGCAAAAAAGTGTAACCCTTAGAAATCTGGTTGCGCACTAAATCCCTCATGGAGATTTTCAAAAGTTGGCAGGTCTGTGGTCTTAATTTTTGCTTCAGAACACACTGACCTAACTTTGTGTCAGATAACAACTCGACCTTTTTATCAAACTTTGGATCCGTTTCTTTTAGCCACTGTTTTTGGCACGATAGATGCTGGGAGGTGGTTTCATGATTTTTGATGGGGTCAAGTTTAAAGTTTTTTGTCCCCCTAACCAGGGCACTTTCCCTTTCACTGTGTGTGGGATACTTGACACAATACGTGCACTCCATTAGACCAGTTGTCTCATCGAAATTAAGCCAAGGACGATTAACCTTCCATTGGGGCAAAAATTTGCGTTCTTTCTTTTCCCGATCATTTTTCTGGTCTTTGGTAAGATCCTGTTTTTTCGGCTGGGTTTCATCAGTCAACACCAATGTTTCACCTGTTTCATCAGGTTTTCTTTTAGTAGAGGTCACCCCAAAACAAAAAAGACTCATACCGTTTAATAGTAGTCCTGTTTGTCAATTGAATAATATATTCTCAAGATTCGCGGTATCTCGTACGACGAACGGTCACGTGACTACACACAAAATCATATTGTGAAGAATTTAAGCAAAACTCATGAGTTTCCTTTCAGTAAAATCATACATTTGAAGATTATTTTTATACAAATTTTATTTATTTTATTCAAAATGCTTTCGATTTTTTTTTAATCAGCAAAATACGAAAGTCCGTCGGGTCTAGCTAACTACCAGTGGGAAGGTCCGAACCCGAAAATGGAAGGCCACGGACCTCGGACCACCGCTAATTTGAACCCCTGTATTAATGAGTTTTCAGTGGATAACATTACAAATTTGCCAGGAATTTCAAATGAAATATAATAACAATTGCCCCTTCAGTGCCTCATCAATGCAAATTACGATACTTTTAAAAATGTAATAAAATGCTCCGCTGGGCGCAGCTTGATACGACCGCAGAGGTCGAACCCTGAAAAGTTGGGGCAAGTATGGACACAACATTCAAGCTTGATACAGCTCTGAATTTGGATTGTGATTAAATATTGACCCCCCACAATTTCTTTTTACCTCCCCCCCCCCCTTTTTCCCCCAAAAAATTCTTTCCCTCAAGATATGGTCATAATCTCAATTCAAATTTCCAATGGAATTTGCAACCATAATTACCCATTTAAATTTACCATAGTGCTAACTTAATCTATTTTATAATAGAATTTAAAATATGGTGTCAAATCTTTCATATGGATTTTTTTGTAAAAAAAACAAGATGCAACATTTGCAGATATTTTTACTGGTCTTCCTTTATAAATATGCATTTCTTTAAACATAATTTAAAAGCAGTGTAAGGGAAGTAATCAAAACGTTGTATTTGGATTACCTCCCTTACACTGTTTTAAATTGACTTAATTGTTCATTAACCATTACTTTATACATAATTTAAAAGCAGTGTAAGGGAGGTAATTCAAATGATGTATTTGATTTATCTCCCTTACACTGCTTTAAATTATGTTTTGTACTAAAGTATTTGTCCATTAACCAGGACAACCTTGTTTTTCCCCCTTTTTTGCCCCTAATTCCTAAATGATTTGAGCCATAACCCCCCAAAGCAAATCCTAACCATCCCTTTGTGGTATATTTCAGAGAGATCCATACACCGTTCCACAAGTTATTGTCTGGAAACTAGAAAATGCTTATTTTTGGCCCCTTTTTGACCCCTAATTCCTTAACTGTTGGTATCATAACCCCCAAAATCAATCCCAACCTTCCTTTTGTGGTATTTAACCTTATGGTAAAATTTCATAGAGATCCATTCACTTAAACTAAAGTTATAGTGCGAAAACCAATGTGTCTTCGGACGACGACGACGATGCCGGACAACGAAGACGACGCCAATGTCATACCAATATACGACCGCAAAAATAAAAATCTTCAGAAAGAGTGTACCACACAAATGAAATGAATGCAATTTGAATACTGAAGAGAAATTACAGGTATTATTACTTTTTGTGAAAGAAGAACTTGGTCATGCCCTGTGGCATGACTGTACATTCGTGCACAAGTAATGAGTTCTGGTCTAACAGATGACCAAAAAGTTTTACTCTTAATTACTTTCATTATTAGAGTCATAAAAATGAGACGAAACATATTTTTTCATTGATATGTATAAAATTATCACATTTTCACTTTCATGACTTTTGTAGATACTGCCTCTTTAAGAATATAAACTTGAAATGGTTTTTCTGGATTAACTTTTATTAGGTTTGTTGAAAGTTTGAAATTTCCTAAGCATATTCATTTTGCAAAACAGAAAGTCAAACCAATAAGAGAAATACAGTCACTGTGATAAAATGCAACATGTATAACGTCAGAGCCAATGATTATTTATCCAAACTTACCATTCTTTTTAGTGTCATCAAATGGATAAAAGAAAGCTACCATCAGATTAATTAACACTGCAAAGTTGAATGTAATGCTACTCCATAAAGACATATGACTACTGAACCATGACAAATATGGATTGGCTGAAATAAACAATAAAATGAATGTGTAAAAATACTTTTAGTTTAAAAAGACAGATGACTATGACTCATGATACTGCTGAGAATAAGGCATTAACTACCGGTATGTTATGTCAGGCTTTAAAAAAGTACTAAAAACTGTATAACTTGTATTCCAATATAATGTATAAATATAAAACAATGCTGCATGGTCTGTAATTTTGTTTGTCCAATTAAGTCTGTTCAATTAACAAATTACTGTGGATTCATTTATTTTTGTGGATACCAATTTTTTAGGATTGAGGACAAATATTCTTTTCATGAATATTTGATTTAGCAACAGTTTGCATACCAGACAATAGAAAATTTATAGTTAGTAGTACAACGGAAACACCTGCATGAGAATGGCTTTCATGTGATTACATTCTGAAATGCTCTCAGAAAGAACAAAGTGAAACTGCGAGCTACTGCTCACTGATGATACCCCCGCCGCAACTGGATAATTTTAATAGTGTAAAAATATGTAAGTGTTCAGTAAACAGGAAGTTGTTGAGTGCTGAATCTGAAAACGCATCACAAGGTATAGCTGACTCATATAAACCCTGAAACCAAATTTCAGAAATCCTTGTAATGTAGTTCCTGAGAAAAATGTGACGAAAATATTCAACTTGGATGTCATGTGTAAAATGATGTAAGTGTTCGGTAAACAGGAAGTTGTTGAGTGATGAATCTGAAAACGCATCACACGATATAGCTGACTCATAAACCCTGAAACCAAATTTCAGAAATCCTTGTAATGTAGTTCCTGAGAAAGATCCGACGAAAAATATTCATGGGACAGACGGACGGACGGATGGACAGACAGAGGTAAAACAGTATACCCCCACTTTTTTCAAGCGGGGCATAAAAAGCAGGGATATAAAAAGGATGAAATCTAACAAAAAATGAAGCATACATGATACTTCTTACATGTTAATCAGAAAATTTACCTCTTAATTTTTTCTGCCATTTCATTTCAGCAAACATATCTTCATGTCTCTCAAAGAATTCAGCCACTTTACTGCCTTGCTCATCTCTTTCTGCTGTTGCATAAATTTTTACTTTTGTCTCTTCTGTTAGGTATTCACAAATCTCAGGGATGGGAAATACAATTCTTTCCATTGTTCTGTCTTGTCTACTTATCTGAAAACATTTGAAGATTTAAATGTTTATAATGTAATAAACATGAACAGAATGTTTCAAGGGACAAATGACTGTCTTACAAATACTCTTATGGATAAATTTTTATCTTAGCTACTGTAAATTCAGATATTACTGTGTGGATTTATTATTGCGATTGTTGAGGAATGGACAAAAATGTGAGTTTAATTATTGCAATTTTAGGAAAATCTGCATACATATATATGCATCAGATACGAAAATGCAAGTTCTTATTATTGTGATACTCACCCAGTCACAATATTCCCATTAATAAAAGCCTCACAATAATTTCTGAATTTACAGCATGTAAAAAGACAGTACAAGAACAATATTGAATGTTTGGACTTACCTTTTATTCTACCATGAAATTGAGGTCTGATATAAATAATTTAGGTCCTAAGTTTTCATGCTGATATAACATCTTCTTCTCAATTTACCTTAATCTTAAATATTAAACTCACTCTTCATCTTTATATTAAAACATGGAATTGAGATCACTAGCCATTGACATAAGTTATCAATTTAAATCTTGATGTATTCATTAATGAAACTCATGGTGATATTGTATCAACTTCACAACAACCTATGATAGGGAATGTCATGTGTCATGCATAATTTTTTCATTTTCTTAAAAAAAAAATTCAAAGGTAATTGAAATTAAATGAAAACGAATTTTTATATCATTGAAATACATTACCTCAATTTGTGCTGTATGCTTTTCATAGAACTCTAAAGCTTGATCACCCCATAAATCACCACTTGGTTTCAAATGATTTGCCAATTCTTTGTTATGTAGAGCAAGCTGTAAAAGAAAATGTATCTTCATACTTGATTTTTATCAAAACTACATACTGAAAACAAATTTTGAATTACAGCATATTTAACAGTAAAAGGTCACTTTTTTAGCCCATTAAATTGAAAATAAAAAATTACTAGAATGTCTTTCAAATAACATTTTACAGATGTTCCAAAGACAGTCTGTCAGATATATAAGTATTGTGGCTTACATTTTTGCCTTATATATAAGGCTTCAAACTTGCATTAAACACAAAACTGCTCAAACCACCTCATTTTGAGAACTAGTCATTAATATTTTGGTAGGAGTCAAGACCTTACTAAAAATTATTTTGCTACAAGATGTCTTATACAATGTAAATGATGTTGGTCAAATATCTTTTTACAAGCAGGGTTTAAGCTAGGATTTTGAGGGCTTAAGTCAATTTTGCGCGATAAGAAAATCAACCTTTCTTGCATAGCAGCTTAATATGATACTAGCAGTACTAAAGTAGTTATTGCATAGGGTTTAATAAATGAACAAAAACATGAGTATTTTCTTTTTCAGTATTTCATTAGTTTACATGTACAAATAAAAATATAACAACAAAGATTAACTGTTTTATATGTTCTAATGGTACATGGACACTGAACTATCATGACTATACGATTGTGAACTGACTATGTGTTAATATGTTGTATGTTTGCTTTTTTTCTCTCTTATTATTATTTTTTTACTTGTATTGTATATGAGGGCCTCAGGGAAGATTACTAATTGTAACTAACTGTGTTTACCTTCTTTAAATAAAGAATTTATTATTATTATTATTATTATTATTAAAATAAAACAGCTGTATTTATTAAAAAGATACACATTGTATGTTTTTGTTTTGATTTGTAATAATTTGTCAAAAACAGGGACTAATGTGACTAATATAATGAATCTATTGGTCAATGTTCCTGTCCTTATAATTTGCTTATGGTCTGCATATGCTACAGAATAGAAAAATGTTTTAAGATCTTTTAATATTAAAAACAAAGAATAGAGAAATGGAGAAAAAAAAGAGAGAATAATGGGTGCTTAAATATACATAAAAGAGAAGATTTGTATAAAAAATAAAGAATACAGAAAATGATGACCCAAGCACCCCTCCCTAACCCCCTAATGTGCACCATGACTCAAAAGACCTCCTAAACCTATAAGTCCTTAAGCCAGAAGTATGTAGTCAGATCATGAGAAGGTATTTCAATACTAGGAAAAATTATAATTGAGTTATCTTTCTTGTATTCAGGTGTGCTCTAATTTTTAGGAGGATTATACACAGTAGATGCACAATCAATAAATGGCCGCCGGTTTTGTTATTCAATATCAAAAGTGAGGGCATGCAAAGACAAAATACATCTGAATTTAAAATTTTTAACGGAATTAAAGCAAAACGATGTGTTCAAATACATTCATTATGTTTTTTTGTCTTTCTGTCAAATACGTTTTCATCATTAAACAGCAAACACGTGGTATGAACAATTCAAACAAAATGCTGAAATGCCTACTAACCAATTTGTACATCTGCTGTATGAATTAATTTTGATGATCATTAATGACCCATCGAATAAGGGGATTACCTGTAACAACAAGTGATGACACCTGTTGTATATGTTGATTAGCTTTGGTCGTAAACTTGTCATAAACTTGTCACCAGGTAAAATTTTGCACAATTTATTTTTTTACTGTTACAAATTTGACGAAATTGATCAGAAATACTTTCATCATTGCGAAAATCGTTTCGTAAATGGTGAAAATGACAAGAGCTAGCAAAATCACTGTACAAGTTAGGTATAATGATCATTGTCTAACAGGACTTAACAGTGTTTATATATCACAACTCGTTCGCCATGCCCATGTCTGTTGTGATGTTTGGATTTCAATGAACGTAATCTATGTATTACTGGTAAATTATTAAGTTAGGGATTTCGTTACCACAAATTACTTAAAACCTTTACTAAATTCTCCCATATGTATAAAGATTTGGTTTGGAAGTTTAGTTGTTCCTGTAGAAAACTTATTTTTAACGGGATAGCACATCCTAATTTTTACGGAGATGTTGTTTACTGAGCCCGGAAATTTAGATACCATACGGGTAAACTTATCGATTCTTTAAATAAACTTATTCTAAAAGGTTACCAATTCAACACGATAATTAGATCTTTGAATATTGTTTTTATTGGTATAAATATTGATTTTGTTATCAGTAAATTAAAATCAAACTAAATATTATTTTTATATACATTCATGGCTCTAAAATCTGTCGATATCTATATCTTGGCATTGCACAAGGTCATGTTTTTCTCTGACTGTTAATGACGTCTTTACACTAAATCCATTGGGTGTTGGATTGTACTGATTGATATTTTAGTCTTAGATGCATGTTTTTTTTTATCAGTTGTTATGGACTTTTAACTAGCTGTCAGTAACTGTGAGTACTCTCAGATCTGTACTTAGTGTCTTTTTGTTGTGGGTATGTACAAGTACCCTGCCATGTCCACTCTGTGTTTTTGTTAGATGTATTTCTGCTTTGTATTTATCTGATGAGTTAAGCCCTTTTCAACTGATTCTTATAGTTTGTTCTTATGTTGTACTGTAACACCACTGTCCCAGGTTAGGGGGAGGATTGGCGGGCCTTCAAACTAGTTTAACCCAGCCACATTCTGTATGTGCCTGTCCCAAGTCAGGAGCCTGTAATTCAGTGGTGGTCGTTTGTGGTGTATCTCATTTATTTTCCGTTCAATATTTTGTACATAAATCAGGCTGTTAGTTTTCTCGTTTGAGTTGTTTTACATTTGTCATTTCGGGGCCTTTTATAGCTGACTATGCGGTATGGGTTTTACTGATTGTTTAAGGCCGTACCGTGACCTATTTGGTGTTAATTTCTGTGTCATTTGGTCTCTTGTTGAGAGTTGTCTCATTGGCAATCATACCACATCTTCTTATTTTTATAAAAAGGATTATTGCATCCTAGTGTGTATATGCTAAATGTGAATAAAAGGACATAAAAAACACAGCAAACCAAAAGTAAAATAAAATAAGAGAACAAAATAAAGTCATCTTCAATACTTGACAAATGTCTATACCATATGTTAAGCTTGATCATGTCCCTAGCATTCTACAGTAAAAAAGTTTAAAATCTTTCAGTTTTCAAACCTTTGAGGACCATTATATCCTCATATAATTTCTGGGTACCTTGATTGACAGTTTCAAAGAATCATTATCTCCACACATAATTTCCGGGTACCTTGATTGACACTTTCAAAGAATCATTATCTCCACATATAATTTCTGGGTACCTTGATTGACACTTTCAAAGAATCATTATCTCAACACATAATTTCTGGGTACCTTGATTGACACTTTCAAAGAATCATTATCTCCACATATAATTTCTAGGTTCTTTAATTGACACTACAATAAAATTTTATCACACAAGATTGCAAGAAAGTAGCATATGTCTCATTAATATTGTGTCTCAAAGCTTTTCTGGGACTCTGTAAATATTTATATGTTAGGATACCATATCTGGGACAGGTTTGAAAGGTTTTATCAGGCTAACACTATTTACCTGTGTAGCCAGGATATAAATATTATGTCCTACAGCTTTTGGTGAAGCTTCTCTTTCCTCATCATCCTCTTCATCATCATTAACAGAATCTTCCTGGTGAAAAGCATTCTTGGCAATATCAACCTATTGCAAAATACCCATATTTTTAAAAATAGTACTGCACACTATAAAGGCTTTATGGCTTACTGGATTTTTATGTTTAGCAATGAAAAGTATAATGTGTGATAGTGACGTAATATCTTTTTTTCTTTACCAAAATCTTTTCTCTCTGGGATTTTTGGAACAAAAAATCAAATCGAAATGGGTTACACTTGGGGATCCAATCTGAATTACAAACTCCCTTATACTGCCATGATGATTTCGTCTCATTGAAACAATTTAGAAAATCTACAATGGTAAAATTTTATTAAAAATATTTAAAGACATTTCAGAGAACAGGATGAAAATGTGATTTCCCATCGAGTCAATGGGATTGATAAATAATTGATTGATGGGTGTTTAACACCTGACTTTCAGTACTATTGCCCTATTTTGTAGCGGTCAGTTTTCATTTTTGGAGGAAGCCGGAGTGCCTGGAGAGAACCACTGACCTTCGATAGGAAAACTGACAATCCTAGTCAATTAAGATTGGAGTCGAAAAACACCTGCCTCATGCCATATTCGAACTCACAACCTCAGTGTTGACAGGCCAGTGATACAATAGTTCGACTAATTAGACCACAAGGCCACCGAGGCCCTCTTGAGTCAATGGCAATACATGTATATGTGGATAAAGTTTATCAAGTATACCCCTCAATCACAATATCAGGAAACTTGAAGAAAGTTTTCTAATTGTCAAGTTTTGAAAGGAAATAAATGGAAAACGGACTATTTAGAATCAAATATTGCTTCTGGTAACCATGGCAATGCAATGAAGAATTTGATGAAGATCCATCCATACATAATTCTGCCAAATTTCGTACAAGCTGGTTAAGGATTTCAAAATAAAATAAATCGGGAATGTGTTCATGGCACACAGATGATGCCCCCGCTTGCATATAACATTATAAAGGGACATAACTCAAGAACAGTAAAAATGACCCTACCCAATTTCTTACTTCATCTGAGTTTTGTGGTAATAAGCATTGTGTATAAGTTTCATTACATTTGGTTGAGGCAAACTTAAGTTAGAGAACAAAAACGAAAAATTCAGCAATTTTTCCATTTGTAAAGGGGCATTACTCTAGAAAGGTAAAAGTGACGCCACCCAAATTCCAACTTGATCTGTGTTTTGTGGTAATAAGCATTGTGTATAAGTTTCATTACATTTGGTTGAGGCAAACTTAAGTTAGAGAACAAAAACGAAAAATTCAGCAATTTTTCGTTTTTGTAAAGGGGCATTACTCTAGAAAGGTAAAAGTGACGCCACCCAAATTCCAACTTGATCTGTGTTTTGTGGTAATAAGCATTGTTTATAAGTTTCATAACATTTGGTTGAGGCAAACTAAAGTTAGAGAACGGAAACCAATTTCGGACAAACATACAGACAGACAAGGGTAAAACTTAATGCCCCCTCCGGCCAAGGCGGGGGCATAAAAATGTAATTCCACATAGAGTTCAATTAGACTCTACTGGACATCACTGCTTCAATGTATGAGATCCTACCTGCAAGAAATAAGGAATCTATGTAGCGGGAAGGCAAACATTTTCTTCTTTCATACATTTTAGCTGTTACGTTTACTTAAAGCTAGCCATATGGATTTATAGAACACTGGGCAAGGCCAGTTAAAAATCTACATTGATTGACTAATCCAATAGCTTTTAATACTATCTTTAGTTTTCTGTCTAATGGTTTGTGGACAGTTGTTTGTTTATTCATTGTTTTTTTCTTTTTGCCATGGTGTTGTCTATTATTATTGGACTTATGGTTTATGTTTTCTCCCTTAATATCTTTTGAATCTTTTTGTACATAAGGACTCATAAGAGATATAGAATTATGAAAGACCTTTGTCTTTTTTAGCCATTCCTATATTTAGCTCAAGTAAATATTTTTTTATTGCCTTTCAACAAAACATAAAGAACTAAGATAATAAGATAAACTATGATCAGCCAGACACCATAATACATGCATAAAGTTGAGGTACAAATTACAATCTGCTAATCAAATGGAAAGGTAAACTGATGCTTAAGCAAAATCCAAAAGAAATTCTGCAGATAATTCTAGGCATAACAGTTGTTTTTTAATAAGTTTACATTCAATTTCGGGAAATAGGAAAAAGAACAAATAAGACTGAAACAACAAAAGAATGTCCAAAGTTGATACATTCTACAGGGAAAGACTGAAGCAAAAGTTTAAACATAATACTTGGATTTTTTTACCCATTCACAATTAAAAGAATTTTAGGGTTATTGTAAATTATAATTCTTACCATGTACATCCTATTTTGTAAAATGCAAGTTTATGAATACTTCTTCCTAAGACTTTTAAATAACTTACTGCAAATCACAAACTAATTTTGTACAAGGCAATACATATATACATGTACTATAATCATCCATCAAATTCATGCAATCTATAATGGTATTCAGAACAGTAAAGATTCTTTTAACAATGCTTGTAAAACCCTCAAAATGCATGTAGAATCTTATAGCAGCATCAAACATAATCATTGTTAAACATATATTAAATAATCCTCACAAATACTTAATATGTCTATGTCCCTTCAAAATAACACTTTTTCTTTAAGAGATCTTATTTTTTCATAAATCCTTACATAATTTTATGAAGGTAATTGGCATGAATGAGTGAAAGCTAAAGATTTTTTTTGGTTTACAGATTTGTAATGTGAAAGTTCAATGTTTCTCTGTTTTAGTCATCAATCTGTTTTAGTAAGATACATTTTGAAACATAATATATGTTATGGTCAAATATTGTTTGTTTATTTGTTTGATCATTTCAGGCTATGTCAATTCTAAAAGGTTTTATTGGTGGAGGAAACCAAAGTACATGGAGAGAACCACTGACCTTCAGCAGAAAAACTTCCAATCCTTAAAATTAAGATCAGAGTGGAACACACCTTGCCATGAGTTAGATTCAAACTCACAATTCAGAGTTAACAGGCTAGTGATCACTGGGTCCTTTATTTTCATATAGAAAATAGACCTGTCTAATGGGAAAGACAGAATACTCAGTCTATTGAGTTTGGTGATCAGCTGGTGATATCTGTTCTGTCCTTGTGTCAGATAAGCCCTCTTTTAATATCAAAATGGACGGAAAAAAATTCAAACAACCTAGGAAATAGAAAATCCTCCATTGTTTGGTCATCTGCTGTATTTCACTATAGTGATTTTTCTGTTTGGACTAGTCTATTTTGTCTTTGACAATGACATTGTGTTTGAAACAGCTGATCCAAAATACTTCAAAAATAAAATCCTTTGGAACAATGACAAAAAAGGAAAAGAAACTTATTTTAATGGACTATATTTATAGGTTTGTTCTGTGAAATTATTTGTGTAAACAACATTTTCCAAATGGCTGCTATTAACTACTTTTAGATTTTTAATTTACAACACAAACACAGCGGTCAATGTGTAATTTAACTTTTTTCATGTTTAAAATAACACATATTTTGAAGGCAAATGCTATGCTAATATTCTTAACATTCTTAACAATGTTTCAGGGATGATGTATTTTGAAGGGTTGGCAGGATTAGAAGAATGCTTGAAAATTTGATTAACTCACAAATCAATTAACCCTTGCCTAACAAGTTTGTGAACTTAATCTGGAAAAGTGCCCACATTTCAAAGAAGTTTATTATCTGCTTTAGAATAGGTGAACCTTAGGAATACACACATTATCTTTAAAGCAAACCGTAACAAAATCATTTTTCGTTGTTTTTGGCCCATACACATGTGAGCATTCAAGACAGCCAGTTACATTTATGTATGTCACACCCATAATTTGAAAGTTCCTCTTTACACAGAAAAGTATGGATATTTCAGAATAATATATAGTTTAAGCTCAAAATGAAACAATACTTGAGGTCAACAACATTTCTACTGCTGACAATACTGAATACAGTAAAAAAACAACATGCAATAAACCTTGTTATGAAAGTTTGTTATTAATCCATCATCCACTGCTTGCTTAAACACCACACCTAAAGCATCAACCTATTAAAACAAGTATTTGTTAGTTGATACCGATGGGTACACAAGGGTGAAATTACATTACTACACAAAACTTCTTTAATTTAAACTTTCACTCTGAAAAGTAATCAGTATTAATAAACTGATTATATTCTACTGTTAATTGGGGAGCAATGATCAGCTGCATCAGCAAATAATATGTATATGGCAACAAACATATAGGGGATGCAACACACTACTTAATATAAATTATTCAAAAGAAATTTTTTATTTGTTTCAATTCTATTTATCATAACTCAAACATTAATCTATGAATGAAGTTTGTATCAGATGAATTGCTCACTAAGTACATTTAAAAAAAAACATGATTTTCCTTCACATAAAAAATTAGTATTGCAACTAGGCTTACCATATATAATTAACTAGCTAAGATATTTCAAAATCCAATAGCTTTCTTACAGGAAATTTATTAAATGGACGTGAATTTTCAGTTATTGGGAAAATAATAGGTAATGGATTCTTTCTTCTGTGATTTTCATATTTTACACATAACATGATCAATGGGTACCTATACATAAATAAATCATTAAAAATAACATAATTTTGAAAGTTTTGAATAATTTTAATATTTTTGCAATTTCAGGCCCTTATCATGCCTCTTTCCTCTTTGGTTTACCACAAAATTTAATTTCAATGACTATTATTATATGACTAAGCATTAGACTGGAAAAATGTGTCACTTACTAGTTGTTTTGAGTTCATGCTATACAATATTCTTTCAGCATTTTCACTGTCATGTCGACTCTCCATGATAGCTAACAGGAGCTTAGAAGCGTTATTCTGTAAATATTAAAATATGCAAAACTTAACGATTTTAAAAAATTTTTCTATTTAAATAAAAGCTTTACATTTCTTTATAAAACCGACCTATGATAATAAATTGTGCTATAACATTGACTTTTGCTTCACATTTAAGGAATTTAACAGGCATTTGCATGATGCTTGAGAGAAAAAGATATACATATAACAGTCAAAATTCAGGGATGCCTCTTTCTATCAATAGTACAGGCCAACACAAAAAACCAAAGGACATTTAGAGGTTGACATAGATGATTTAACAATGGACAAGTGTCTATTCATTATATGTCTCCACATTGCCCAGAGATTTACAAAGTTCTGTATCAGGGGTGTGGAAATATTTGTTGTGACCACTTGTCCCTGGGCAGGTGAAATTGTAAGTATTACTTGTCCAGAAGAAAAGTCACTTGCCCTGAATCAGTGATTTCTTAATGAATTATGGAATGAAGAAGATGTATTTTACTGTAAACGTGTATGTTTCTAAAAAAATTTGAAACACAATGAAAATGGTATTCATGGTCTTTGTTTGTATGTTAGAATGATAAAAAGATAAATAGAGTATACACCAATGAGATAGAAACCAACCACAAAAACAACCTTAAACTTAAGAATCTAGAGGCCAATTTTGCAATTTTTTTTCGATGCTAGCTTACATGAACCTGGGACTTATATCTTCTTCACTGTGAGCTTTTGCAAAGTTTTAAAGTTAATGAAGAGATGAAAACCAAATACTGTAAATTCAGAAATTATTGCGTGCATTTATTATTGCGATTTTTCAAGAATGGACAAAAATGCGAGATTAATTATTGCGATATCATGAAAATCTGCATACAGATATATGTAACAGACATCAGAATGCGAGTTCTTATTATTGCAATAGTCACCCAGTCGCATTATTTGCATTAATAAAAACCTCGTAATAATTTCAGAATTTACAGTTATTGATGAATTATTGAATTGTTGTTTGCAACATCAACCCCTTTCTCTTCCCCCCAAAAACTTTTTTTTAGATAACTAAGCAAAATAAAAACATAACAGTGCTTTAAAACCTCTATTCCAGTTTAACTTCATACTATTTGTCCTGATTTCTGTTTCTTGTCAAAACCAAGATCTTGGCTCAACAATTTTATTTTTTATGAGGCGCCTCTTCTCCGTTGATCAACTTCTGAGCGATGACCTATCTGAAGATGCTTATCCAACTCGACCAGTCATTTAGTTTTCATTCTTGAGAAATCAGAGCTTGAAATTAATAATGAACATTTCCAGTGTATTGTTGGTATAACCTGATCGACAATCCCGTATCAATGGGAAAAAAATTACAGAATATTAATGAAACCCTGGTCCGTATGCTTATTTTTTGTTGTTTGATAATGGATTTATTTCTTGATCATTGATGTTGTTTTACTTAATGTTGCTTTCGTCTTGTTTAATATTTGATATTTTTTCTACTTTGATGAATAAATTTTGCGGACTTTTTAATATGATTATATAAATTAACATTGTCAAGCAACACTTTTTTTACTTGTCCACTGGCAACAAAGACACAAAAAATTGCTTGTCTGGTAGGTCAAATGTACAAGTTGGATGAGTCGGGCATAGCATTTCTACACCCCTGTGTATATACTGTAAAGGGGTTTGGTCTGACCACTCAACTAACTTATTGTTAGTACCATCAAAATTTTCCTTGATGTCACATTCATACCTCATTAAAAAGTGTCTCAATAGCATTGACAGTACAACAATTACAAAAGCAAGTTGTTGACATGAAACCAGAATATTAAAAAAACTAAGAATGTAATTTTTTAGAGTACAGTCATCTGCAGGGCTTCCAAATAATATTTGAGCCAACCAGACATTTCATGTCTTATCCAGATTTTAATCCTTTAAGACTTAGTAACAAAAGGCAACAATGGTAATCAGTTGGTTATCCTATAAACAATGGTTGACATAAAAATGATATTTAACTTTTTGATTTATACTTTTATTTTTAAAAAGCACATTTTCCTAATACTGGATGCTGACTTGAAAATGGTAAAACAGGGATAAGAGAAGAATACATAAAATCTAGCTGTGTTTGTTTACAAAGCAGGATTGAGTTTAAGTTATTTCTTGCTTGAAGAAAATACTTGAAATGAACGTTAGATAAAGATATCTATGATAACTTTAGCCTTTTTGAAGAATTTGGTTGCATAATTAAATTTCATACCTGCACAAATGCATGTACTAGTTCAATCAAAATCCAGTATGACGTAATATGTCCTGTTCCGGTGTAAAACTTTAACATCAGATATTTCGAAACTTTGTGTACGCTTCAGAATGTAATAACATTTGACAAAAAGAAAATTTTCAGGTGAAAAATGTGAGTGTTTTGTATATTATTGAAGAAATCACATATGTCCATTGCCATTGACGAAAAATACATTGTCTTAACCTTTGAAAGTCATCAATGACCTAACAAATAGACAATGGAAATGTCGTATTATTGTCCCATGCTGCTGGGTAAGCCCATCAAATTAACACATTTTTTATATAGATAACAAGATAACATATCACAACCATAAGAGAATGTTCATTTCACTAAATACCAACCTTTAATTCTAATACCAAGTCCATCCTATGTTTCCCTAAAGGCATAATATCATTCAGCAGAAGTGCTATTATGATATCTATACCATTACTCTCATGTAATGCAATGGCATTCTGAAATAAAAAAAAAAAAAATCTTTAAATCTTTCAGTAGCAAAAGTTGCATGAACAAAAGATAGACACATTCATTTGAAAGGAATAGTTTCAAACAATCAATAAACAACTGCGCCATGAGCGCATGATACGCCCGTTGTCTTGTGTGTGAATTTTTATGCAATAATCATAAATAGTTTCTGACATACAGCGCGACATGCGAAAACCCCCCTTTTTTTTACAAAAAACTCAATATCTCTAAAATAAAATTTTGAATCAAAACCAAAAAGTAAACAGATCTTAAGATTAATATAACTAAGAAGTGTGTAAAATTTTAAGCAATAATCATAAATCGTTTTTGAGATACGGCGCGACATGTGAAAACCCCACTTTTAAAAAAAAAAAAAAATCAATATCTCTAAAATAAAATTTTGAATCAAAACCAAAAAGTATACAGATCTTTAGATTAATATAACTAAGAAGTGTGTAAAATTTTAAGCAATAATCATAAATCGTTTTTGAGATACGGCGTGACATGTGAAAAACCCCTCCCCCTTTTTTTACAAAATACTCAATAACTCAAAAATAAAATTTTGAATCATCACCAAAAAGTATACAGATCTTAAGATTAATATAACTAAGAAGTGTGTAAAGTTTTAAGCAATAATTATAAATTGTTTTTGAGATATGGCGCAACATGTGAAAAAAAAACACACACCTGTTTTAGTTACTAAGTCCCCTAACTCAAAAAGTTTTAATCTTATTTTCACCAAAAAGTATACAGATCGTTTGACTATCATAAGAAACAACTATGTTAAGTTTCATGAAATTTGGATAAGTCGTTCTCAAGTTACGGTGCGACATGTTTACGCCGGACAGACAGACGGACAGACAACATTTGTATACCATAATACATCCCGTCAAAATTTTTGACGGGCGTATAAAAATGGCATTGAAAATCCATGAAAATTGAAACTAGGAACTACACCATTATTTTCACTGATACAACTGAAAAATATTTGATCAGACTGACAATGAACAAAATGTGTTATTTTTTTAAGTGTAAATAAATCCGCAATATGAACGCAAAACTGCCTGTCTTTTTCTTGACACAATCATTTCCTTTTAAGTCCAATGTGGTTTGTGTCTTTAGATAGACAATGATTTCTTTTTATATTTTTCTCAAAGCTTTTGTAGACAGAAAGAATATGGTGATCTATTGAAAAACAGTGTCATGCTTTTATGTTTACCTGATTTTCATGGCAAGGTCCCTGGCAGTATTCTGTTAAACTTGATAAAGCCTGGTTAATGAGGTCTACATTTGTCTCATTAATGTAGAGACCTAGTAAACCTAATCCACCTGTTGTACTCCCACAAATACAATCCAAAAACTGTAAGGTCTCACAAACAAGATTCAGTGATTTAGTGTGACTTTGATTCCTAAGTAAATTCTGAAAAGAAAAAAAAAATTATGCAAGAAGAAACGTTTGTTACTAAGTCAAACCCGTGCTATATAACAATTTTATACAATGAGAATGTAATAGTTTCTTTTCGTTCAATTTACTTTTAATTCTTCACTCTTAATTAATTTTTTCTCAAAATTAAAATTATTTATATTATTAAAATGTAACATTGTTCCAAGGAGCAAGTTTCATTCAAATGAATAACCGGAACAAAATTACCAAAAATCATATCTTTATCTTCAAGCTATCTCTAAAACTAGAGGCTCTATAGAGCCTGTGTTGCTCACCTAGGGCTATGTGCACCTTCAACAATGGACCCTCTCCAACATCATATAATAGCATAAAGTTAATCATAAAAATCTCTATTTTGTTGATCTTGTACATGTATTGCTGATAATTTTTTTCTGTTTACAGTTTTTCTCTATCCCCTTTAGTATTTGCTCAAAACACAAAAACTAGAGGCTCTCAAGAGCCTGTGTATCGCTCACCTGTATCTACTGTGGTTTTGGAAATCATGTTTAATAAGGTTAAAATCATAATAAATAGTATTAAATACCCTAATGATGATTGAGGCCAAGTTTGGTTTAATTTGGCCCAGTTGTTAAATTAAAAGCAAAAGATTTTTGAAAAAGTTCAAAAATTACCAAAAAATTGCAGAAAATGACTATAGGGACAATAACTCCAATAACTTGTCAATTGACGATTTTGGTCATGTTGACTTATTAGTAGATTTTACTTTGCTGAACATTATTGCTGTTTAAAATTTATCTTATCTAAAATAATATTCAAAATAACCCATAACTGCAAAATTTCCTTAAAATTATCAATTCAGGGCAGCAACCCAACAAGGGGTTGTCTGATTTGTCTGAAAATTTAATGGGCAGATAGATCTAAACCTGATGAACATTTTTACCAAGTCAGATTTGCTCTTAATGCTTAAGTTTCCGAGATATAAGCCAATAAATTGCTTCGCCGAGCACAGCTGGATACCACCCCAGAGGTCCAACCCTGAACAGTTGGGGCAAAAATGGACGCAATATTCGCGCTTGATACAGGTCTGAATTTGGATTGTAATTAAATATATATGACACATTAAAGGTTATGACACAGAATAACTGTAGTCAAAGAACTTAGAATTGGTTATATGATTTGAATTTATATTCAATTTTTTGCTTTTGTGCAATACACTTTGCTGTTGCGAATTGACCCCCCCCCCCCCCCCCCCCCCTGAAAAAAAAAAAAAAAAAATTACCCCCCATTTTTTTTGCTTTTGTGCAATACACTATGCTGTTGCGTAATAACCCCCCTACACACCTTTGCAAAAAAAATAATATTTGAAGAATTTTTCTTTTTAATTTCTGAAATCTGAAATGAAAAAAATTGACACCCCACAATTTCTTTTTACCCCCTCCCCCCTTTTTCCCCCCAAAAAATTCTTTCCCTCAAGATATGGTCATAATCTCAATTAAAATTTCCAATGGAGTTTGCAACCATAATTACCCATTTAAATTTACCATAGTGCTAACTAAATCTATTTTATAATAGAATTTAAAATATGGTGTCAAATCTTACATATGGATTTTTTGTAAAAAAAAAAAAAGATGCAACATTTGCAGATATTTTTACTGGTCTTCCTTTATAAATATGCATTTCTTTCAACATAATTTAAAAGCAGTATAAGGGAGGTAATCAAAACGTTGTATTTGGATTACCTCCCTTACACTGCTTTTAAATTGTTCATTAACCATTACTTTATACATAATTTAAAAGCAGTGTAAGGGAGGTAATTCAAATGATGTATTTGAATTACCTCCCTTACACTGCTTTAAATGTTTTGTACTAAAGTATTTGTCCATTAACCAGGACATCCTTGTTTTTCCCCCTTTTTTGCCCCTAATTCCATAACAGTTTGAGCCATAACCCCCCAAAGCAAATCCTAACCATCCCTTTGTGGTATGGGAACTTTTGGTATAATTTCAGAGAGATCCATACACCGTTCCACAAGTTATTTTCTGAAAACTAGAAAAATGCTTATTTTTGGCTCCTTTTTGGCCCATAATTCCTTAACTGTTGGTACCATAACCCCCAAAATCAATCCCAACCTTCCTTTTGTGGTATTGAACCTTATGGTAAAATTTCATAGAGATCCATTCACTTAAACTAAAGTTATTGTGCGAAAACCAATGTGTCTTCGGATGACGACGACGACGCCAACGTCATACCAATATAAAAATTCATAGAGATCTATTCACTTAAACTAAAGTTATTGTCCAGAAACCAAATGTGTCTTCGGACGATGGAGACGACATCATAGCATTATACGACACAAAATTTTTTTTGCGGTCGTATAAAAATGAAATATTCTGAGTGGATTGAGTCTCAAAACACATTTTATGAGAAAATTGCCTTGAAATAGGACTCTACCATGAATATTAGTAGACAGAGCAAGCCATACTCAGTGTTTTGGGGAGCTTTTTCTCAGTTTTTCTCATTTCTCATGTTTTGCTATAATAGAAAACTTTTTCCTAAGTAATACTTTAATAAATATATAGGCTTAGTAAATGAAATTATTTTTGAAGCAGTAACAACAAATTATTCACTAAAAGGGAAGCTTTTTATGTCCCTCTCTGGAACGCGGTGTAAATCTAAGTTTTACGTAAAGACTTATTGAAACCTCCATGGAGTCAGTAAACTTTTATCTGGATAGTTCAGTCAGCTTGAATACTTCAATTACTCATTTATTATCACATTTCTTTCATAAATTAGTGAAAGTTACCATAAAATTTTTATTTATTTGCCTAGAAAGTTGAAATTTTGAGGAAATGAGAGGTATAAATGGACCAAAAGGGACCTTATAATAAAGACAAAGAGGTCCACTAGTGGTATTTATCATCCTAGAGTCATCTTTTGTATCATATTCAACTGTTTGTAGGCAGATGAGAAAAATATTTGATCATTTATTGGTCCACACTATATTCTATCATGAAGCAGCTTGATTCAGATTTTTCGAAGAAATTTTGCTCAAATCGCTGTAGATGTTGTCTTACATTATACTAGATTTTACTCAAACTATTGAACTGATTATGACAAAACTTGACAGTAATGCTTGAAATAACCAGTATTACAAAGGAAAAAAATCACATTCAGTTTATTCAACAAAAAAAGTCTTCCTTAGGTGTAATACCACCAAATCATAGTACGTCACATCCGGTTACATACGAAAAAGGATAGAATAAAAATATTCCCTTGAATTTGACAGTTGTAGGAAATTAATCTTACATTTCATTGCAGTAAAAAATTTCTGAGTCATAAACATATATCTTGGGTGTATCAAAGCACCCTTATTTTTTTATTTGGTGTTTCTACAGAATATTTTGGAAACTTGAGGTTACATGGTTACTAAAGCTTGTACACAGGAAAAAAAGGGGTGAAAATTTGATTGCTTAACTTCCAGTGATGGTTATTTTCTTATATGCAATGAAATATTTTGTGAAATTTTGTTTATAGTACTGGACAGGATGAAACTTTACTCATGCCAAGTATTTCTTTATTTGAAACAAAGATAAATTATGCACATTTTTTTGAAAAGTGCAAATTTAACAAAGACTAATAGGGGAAAATCAATGGTGGTATTACACCTGTAATTGAACCGGAAAAGTTCTTTTAGCATTATACTACCCTAAACCTAGAAAGACTTGCTCAATACACAGAATATCTTAGTATAATATGGACGCTTTACCTGTAGTTCTCGATTATGATTTTCACATAGGAGCTGCAAGAATCTAAGGATTGGTCTCATCATTGCAACATGTGGTGTCAGTTTCTTGTCTTCTTTTTCTTTAGTTTGCTTATCTACAGCATCATCTTGACCTGCAACATGACCTCTCTGAAGGTCATCAGGTTCCTCAGGTTGTTTATTCTGTCTTAATTTAAATTTTATACCTCCTACGGAATCCTCCTCATAATCTTGTCTTCTACCTGTAAGCCATATCAAGAGATTTAGCTAGATTGCTACTTTTTACTATTCAAAATATTCCACCCTGATCATTTAACTTGATTTCGAAACATAATAGGTGATGGAAGATTTTATTCCTCAAGATTGACTATGTGACTATTTTTAATATAGAAATCAAAAGGTCATCTAACAATCTTGAATCAGCCATCTAGCTTAAATCTCAGATTATTGAAAGCACTTAGCAAGTTGTCTCAGTGGACAATTGGAATGGGGCACAACAAAAAAAAAAAACCTAATGTTTTTCTAGGGTCATCTTACTTGATAATAAATAAATGGGGAATGTGTCCAATGGGGGGGGGGGGGGGGGGGGGGGGGAAAGCAATAATAGTTCCAATGATATATAATAGCATATAATTCATGAAAATCACTTCAGCTATTTGCCATTTATATCATCCTGTTCACCATACTCTGATTCAATCTAGATTTGTGCACAGGGGAGGATATCAAATTACTTCCTACCCTTTCTATTATATCTAAATTCATGGAGCATAAAGAGTTAATATAAGTTTTGCAACTGTAACACTAGTTATTTATATATATTCAAATATTGCAAGGATTACAAGTAAAACCTAGTTTTCAGGATATTATAAATTGTTATTTTTTTCCCCTTGATGGTGATGTAGTATTGGACATGTTGGATAATTCTTACAGATTACATTTCTAAAGTTTTTTTGGCAAAGAAAATATTATATTCATTAAAATATAAGACGTCACTAAAAACATGTGCATATCTATTCCATTGAGAAAATTTTGCAACATGGCTAAAGATAACAATAAATCTATAATTTGTTTTTAACTCAAATGTATCACAAATACATGCTTGTTAAATTTTGTGCTATAATCTTTTATTAACATCAGCTTGTTAATTTGTAGTTTGCAACAAGACTAAAAAGTTTTTTTTATGTTTTTTTTCTTTTCTTGAAATTCTGTACAAAGTTACTCTTGGCATTGTACAGAATCATGTTTCCTGTAGTTATTGGATCTGTGTCATCCTGTGTGATAATTAAACAGACAACACCAAGGTGAAAAGAAAAAAGAATAACAGATAAATAACAGTCCACAAAACTACACAGAAAAAGAAAAGTTGAGCATCACTAACCCAACAAAATGTGGACAAAAGTGTTGGTACTAAATATGTGTGAACTAGGAGACATTTTATATATCTTTTATCTGTGAGATGATAAACCAGGAATATATGATACCTCTGCCTCTCTTCAGTCCTCCTGTGGCATCTTTAGTTTGTAATTCTTTTTGCTCATCAGTTCTTTTCTCTCCATCACTGGTGTTAACTGTTACGGTTGATTTAATCTCCTCGCTTGCTTTTACCATCTTGTTGTAAAATACTTTGAAAAATACATCAGAGTTTTTGTCTTTTAGCAACCTATTGTAAACAGATCTCTGAAATGAAGATTGAGGCTGAATTATTAAACTATTTATATCATATGCATCCTTCCATATGCTGACAATGGTGGACATGTCATTTGTGAAATGAAATGAGGTATTTTTATAAAGGATCTATATATTACAATATAACAAACAAGTCTGGTAATGATGGGTTAATGACTTTCAAAGATGATGAAAGTATAATTTCTTTCTATGTTCAATTGGAACTTATGTGGCATCATTGCTGTATTTGCTAGAAAGTTTTGTAGGTCTCTCAAACATCATGTCTTTTTAAGTTACTTTTTAAAGTAAGTGAAAAATTTCGAATACTGGCAAATAAAAAATCTAGAATCTACATTTAATTACTCCTGTAACAACACAGTTGTTTTAAATGATTCAAACACAAAAGTGAACATGCTGAAATGTCTCACCAAGATTAATTTTATGTTGACAGTCATAAGGATAAAGGTTTTAGTACAAATATCACATAAAATTAACATTATCAATGACCCGACAATGACAATGAGGTCAAGGTCAGATCAACTCTGCTAACCTTACAATCATTCCATACACCAAATATAGTTGATATATTGCTTTTGATATCTAAATAAAGAGAGTTAACCAGGGAAACTTTATCATTGAGCAATGAACCATGAAAATAAGGTCAAGGTCAGATGATACATGCCAGGCAGACCTTACAATCTTTCTATAAACCAAATATAGTTGACATATTGCTAAAAGTATTTGAAAAACAGACCAAAACACAAAAACTTAACATTGACCAATGAACTGTGAAAATAATGTCAAGGTCAGATGAAACCTATCAGACTGACATGTAAACCTTACAGTCATTCCATACAACACATATATTGAGGGGGTCTCATTGGGGGCATCTGATCCCAGATCCCACTTATTGTTTTGTCAGATTCCCCGTATCCCTCTAATAATTGTAATAATAACGCTTGTAATTTCACGTGTCCCAACCGACTTCGTTTTCCGTTTTCAAGCACAATAATTTGACTTTCACGTGTCACGCTTACAAAAAAATCGGCCAATCCCGCGTCATGCTTAGACCCCAATGAGACCCACTATTGACCTACTACTTATTATCTTAGATTAAGACCTTATCATGTCACTTTAACCTGATCCATGAAATCAGGTTGAGGTCATGTGAACCTGTCCTTCAACATATAAGAGCTATTACCCATATATCAATATTACTCATAATACCGGATAAGTGAGAAATGTACATGACAAAAAAAATTATAATATTTTTTATCAGTCCCTGATCCATAAAAATGACTTCCAGGACAATGGACACATGACAGACAGAAACTTCATAACATAAGGCATCTATCTGTATACAAGGTATGAAGCATCCAGTTCTTCTACCCTCTGGAATATAAATCTTTATACAAATAGTTTATGCCGTCGCTATCAGGTTGTAATCTCTATGTCACAACAAAAGTCATAGGCAACACAAAAATGAACAACCTTTGACAGTGGATACAAAGTACAGTCAAACCTGTATTAAGTAATCAATCATGGGAAATACCAAAGTGATTGCTCAAGAAATGTGACCTTTTAAAAGAGTTCAGAAAAATTCCTATTCTGACATCGCCCTTGGACGAAAAGTTAGTGATACTGTTTTCAATGGAATCTGAAAGAAGTGGAACACGAGGAATTCACTAATGCACCACCTATTGCACCATCTCAGTTCTGATTCTCAATTTGACTTTGATATTGAGCACATTTATTTTTCGTCATGATTATATTGGTAGTTAAACACATCAAATTGACTGTGGTTGAAAGTTGAAATGACCGCTGAAAAGAGTTACCGTCTTTTGGTATGCATAGTGCGCATTTGTGTATTGTGCGCACCCCCTTTATGGACCAAGAAACTTGAGAAAAAAAGTTTCTTCTTCATATAATACACATAGACATTTTCGGAAAAGTCACAGCTCCAAAATCGGTAAAATGTTGCTTGAGCGTGATTTTTTTCGGCAAGGAATTAATGAGAAGTCATGATTAATATCATGGAAAGAATTTATTGTAGCTGAATAAAGAATTTTAATAGTTATCTTCTTTTTATAACCCACAAGTTAATGTTTGTCGTTTGTTGGCAAACAGGAAGTCTAAACTGGAAGTTTTTTAAATGGTCACCGATGTCGGTGAATTCCGTACAGAATACGTAATTAATACGGAATATGTATTATCTTGTATTATTTAATTTTATGTTATGAATTAGTGCTGAAATAAATTGTTAAAATCTCATAATTTTTATTTGTTGTTAGTTGATTCTAGCTGTTAATCCGGATTATCACACCTCAATCAATGGGTCTAATCAATGTCAAAACAATCAATGACAGGTTCACCTTGTTCCTAATTAAATTTGTTCAGGTTACAATTATGGGATAATCATGTTTTCAATCATAATTTCTTGAACGGTTTTAAACAGTTGTTACTGTTTAAAAGTTACGAAGTAGAAAGGTATTTATAAAAAAAAAAACTTCTCATAGACTAAATCATCACTTTACAATATTAAGTCACATGACTGGCGATCACCTGATACAGTAAAAAAAAAATGGCGGTTTATCTTTTCAAAACGAGCGTGGTTTATTCAATTTTCATACACATATCTTCTACTCTCCATGATGAACACATACAAAACAGTAAGTTATGACCACAAGAAACACAGAGCCTAAATTAACCGACAACAAAAGCTTCATGGTGTCTTTATTAAGACATGGCAAACTTCCGGATTGAAAACAGATGGACAAATTTTACACGATAAACGAATGTAACTACAGAGATATAAAATGTATTTTATTTGAATAAAAATGACATATCAAGTACAATAAGATACATATTACAAATATAACATGTAAAACATAATAAAAGTCGAGGAATTAGCGAAAAATTCCGTACTCTTCACTTCACCTGTGTTTTTCTTTGTCGGGAGTTCGGACCTGAAAAAAGGCTAAGAAAATGTTTGTAGGCGTGTATAGTGCGCGCCCCTCTTACAAGAAACATGACCCAGGGTATAAATGTGCACACTATACATACCAAAAGACGGTAAATTATATTGCAAAAAAATTTTTGGGAGAGTCTGAAAGTGACTGTTAGAGACGGGTGACCTGTAAAAAGAGGTGACTGTTAAGACAGCTTTGACTGTCACTGCAACAGTTCAAAATGGCCCTGTGAACTAGTGAGTTAAAAATGATTCAAACAAAATTATTTAGTGTAGGAGTAGATAGAACTAACCTGAATAACTGGGTTACCACCTTCCAATAAAGCAATGCCAAGTTCCACTGTCTCTTGAAATATTTTGCTGTTAGTTTCTTTCATTATCAAATCAACAATCAAATCTGCTGCTCCTTCTTTGGCCAAATGGCACTGAAAAAAATGTATACAAATCAATCTTAAAATTTTATATTAAGATGACTTGTGAACTCTAGTTATATTTTGATAAAAAGACCATTAAAATAAAGATACAGGATTAATCCTTCCGTATTATTGAATTGAGCCAATTGCTGCTGATTTTTACAGATGTTTTTTATGCTGTTCTGTTACATTACTGTCCTATGTTAGGGGAGGGTTGTTTTTTGTTCAATTTTTGTTTAAATTATCCTACCTGAATATCATAAAGACTCATTCTTTCTCTACCAAACATGCTGGATCTTGAATTGTTATCAGCACCAGGTCTTCCAGACAAAGCCAGTTTATTTCCACCATCTCTTTGTCCCCTCATTGGTGCCTTTTCATAATACTTTGTCAACAGACATTGCCGTAAAGCTTCTCCCTATTATAATAATAAAAAAAACTAGATGTAGTATTTATGACACATTGATGTATCATCTTCATGCAAATATGTGAAGCTGTTACCTCTTAGACCTCAATGAGAAACTTGAGACATAACCATTCAAGTACAAAAAAGATTTAGGGGTGATCCAAATGTTCAAATTATGAGTTCCATAATATAATATACTGTACTGATAAAACATAACATATACTGCTATGGAAGATAGTCTTTATAAATTTTAAATGAGAAACATAATAAAAGCACCGAAAACACAGACAGATTAGTTGAAAGGGGAGACATAATGAATGATGATTCACAAAAACAGTTTGTGAAAAATAAACTTATTTTAATATTGCATCCATGTAAAAGGAGAATTATTATACGCTAAAATATATATTTTGTATTTCATAAAGCACTCATAATTATCAATATTTTTCAGTAAAAACATACACTTTTGGAACATCCCCCTCCATTAAAATCTAGTACATCTTTTTTTTCAACAGTAAATACATATTGCTTACTAAGAAAGATGTTTTGGGATAATACTGTGAATAAATTATAATAATACATGAAAATTTGTTCACAATCAACAATTAACACTTAAAGACAATCATAACCAATAACATAATCCACCACAATAAATTTATTCCACAACAAAACAATCATAAACACTATATCAGGGGCCTTTAGAGCTGAAGATGGCCATTTGTAAAAATAAAATGTATGCAGCCCCTACATAGTGTAAATGAGTATGCAATACCATATGAAAATGTAATGAAATCAATATATATTAATATATGGAAACATGATATAGATAATAAATGCTGCACAAGAAAGATATGTGTACGTTAAAGTAAGCGAACAAATTAAAATGTCTCAACTAAAAAGTCTTTGTGGAAAATGAAAATTAATATAGCAGCCATTTTTAAAGTGAACATGCAATCATATTCTAAAAACTAAAAAAGATGCAAAGAAATTAAAGACATGCCTAATTCTTTCAAATCTGAAGATGATTTAAAGTGTTATTTCATCTTGAAATTCTGTAAGAAATTATGGCTCTTGAAGAACCTGTTATGAAATATTTTTGACATGTTGTCAGACCTACCCCTGGTAATATATGCATGTATACTGAGTGCCAATGAAACACAACAGGTTCTATATCGTAAGCTATATGGCATTTCTCTGGTTAAATATGAATATTTCCTTTGTTAGGCTGTAGACAACACTTTTCTTTATAGTTGGGCAATTTTATTATGTAGACAACACCAGTCAGCTGTGTACTATAAATTCTTGTGTAATATTATGTGAAGCCTCGTTTCTTTATAAAGCTGTAACAAGAGACATGTTTGATAAGTTTGAACAGCGAGTACAACTACACGACTAGTGTTAAATTCAACAATAATTTCATCTGACTCCAACTTTGAGCTGAATACTACACTTGGTAAGGAAGACATCATGCAGTGATTTGTTTCTGATACTGAAGAAAGAGAATTTTTTCTCTTAAGTCCAAGACAATATAAAAAAAAGTTACAAAAGCTGATGTAAACTTTGAGTATAAATAGAAAGTCAGATAGGCCGGGTCCAGGGAAAGGACCAAGAAAAAATAAGAAGGGGAAGGCCATGATGAAATGTAAAATTCAGAATGTGGGAGATGTTTCCCCAGATAAAAAGAACAAAGATAATGTATCTAAGAGAGAAGTTAAACAAGAAACCTTTATAATTCAATGGAAAGTTTTGAGTTGTGCTTTCAAAATAAGGCAGGCCAAAGTTTAAGCACATCTGAACAATCAGAGTTTGATCTCCAAGCAATGGTTGACAATCAAACCTTAAATCTTAAATCTTAAGGATTTAGACATCTTTTAGGCTGACGAGAATAATAATGTTGCTGTAAACGACAGCACTCAAGCAGATGAATTTACATTTGAAGTACCTAAAATTTTTGAGGAGGATGTTAAGTTCAGTAGTGAAACTATGACAAACATAGCTGATACGGTTAATACAATTGTCTGTAAAAAAAGGCAAACCTAGATGAAATTGTCAAAGACAGTTAAATACCATCACATTGAAAGAACATTATTTAAAGTAGATGTTGAGATTTGGTCAAATTCTTCAAAGAACATTTCTTCAAAGAAATGTAAAGTGGCTTGAATTAATTATGCAGAATGTGCAAAAAATGCTTGGAATAGGAATAGTGCCTGTAATACATTTGGTAGAGTTGTTATCAAAGATATCCTGATGTTAAAGAGCTTAAAGCTCACATACTTAGAGCTATGACAATCCTTAGCAGTGTCTCTTTTTAATTTTCTAAAGGTAGAAAAATTACTATTAAACCTCACCTTGTACAAAAGTATCATTTACTATGCAATCATAATGAGGAGATAGGGGAAAATTTATTTGGTGATGACATAACTAAGTGTATAAAAGAGATCAATGAAGCACAAAACTACTATGAATCATGTGTAGGAAATCAGAAAGCTCAGAAAACTTCTTTCTGTCCAAAGGATTTAGGAAAAGAGGAAATTGTCATAGGGATTAGAAAGGCAGACAAAGCCATTACTCAAACAGAGGAAAATCTGTTAGAACAAGGTTTGGGAAAGCTAAAAATAGTACATCCAAGTTTAAATCCAGAGATATTCAGCCTGACTGCATGGTGAATATTGAGAAACAAATTAAAGCAAAAGGTTTCTCAGAAACCACTACAAAATTATTGTCTGCATCATGGAGGTCAGGTTCACACACAGATTACAAAAGTAAAGGAGCAGGGGCCAAGGCAATTACAGCTGATGCCAAAGGAGATATTCAAGGTAAAATTTGAAGCTGGATCAGTCATGAAATTTTCTGATATTTGAGGCAATATTACCTCAGATCCTTGAGTTTTATATATCATACAATATGGTTATAAAATTGAATTTGATAACAAAAAAAAAAAATAAATGTGGATTGTGTCCACATGTGGACACAGATGATGCCCCCACTTGCATATCATATAGTTATAAAGGGACATAACTGAAGAACGGTAAAAGTGATGCTACCCAAATTTGAACTTGATCTGAGTTTTGTGGTAATAAGCATTTGTGTGTAAGTCTCATAACATTTGGTTGAGACAAACTAAAGTTAGAGAATGGAAACAAAAAATTCAACAATTTTAATGTTTATAAAGGGACATAACTCAAGAATGGTAAAAGTGACCAAATTTTGTACTTAATCTGTATTATGTAGTAATAAGCATTGTGTATAAGTTTCATAACATTTGGTAGAGGCAAACTAAAGTTAGAGAACGGAAACGAAAAATTCAGCAATTTTTCCATTTGTAAAGGGGCATAACTCTAGAAAGGTAAAAGTTACAACACCCAAATTCAAACTTGATCTGTGTTTTGTGGTAATAAGCATTGCTTATAAGTTTCATAACATTTGGTTGAGCCAAACTAAAGTTAGAGAATGGAAACCAATTTCGGGACGTACAGACGTACAGACAGACAGACTGCTGTCCACATTCCAGGGAAAGAAAATAGACTGCCTGATTATGTCTAGGGTATATAGTGATTCGTCTGGGTGGCAATTAAATGAACAAGTGTTTAATGCTGTATGTAGAACAGACAGATTTGTGTCTTGGTTTCCCGAGTCAGAGGCATTTGCATTTTCATTTTCATGGAGTTCTTATTATGCCTTATATTTTTCCTCCTTTCAGTTTAATTCCATAGGAACTGAGAAAGATAGAGGAGGATAGGGTAAGCATGGTCTTAATGATAGTACCAATATGGCACACACAGACTTGATTTCCAAGGTTGCTAAGTTGTTTAATAGATTATCCATTAAGATTTCCTTTTGAAAAGAATTCCTACATCTAGCACTCAGCCAAATGAATCAATGAACATCAATCAATGAACAAGAGAAAAATGTTTCTAGTTGCCTGAATTGTACCAGGCAATCACTCAATAATCAAGGAGTTTCAAAAAGAATCTAAGAGATATTTTACTACATGTGTAGAGACCCTTCCACTTCAAAACAGTAATTCAAAGAAGAAAGTGGTGTATTTGGTGTAGTAAACAGATAGCTGGATGGCTTAAGCATATATTAGAATTATCAGGCATTGATGAAGGTCGATTTAGGGCACATTCACTTAGAGAATCTTTGACTTCTGCAGCTTTCATGTCTGATGTAACTCTAAATGACATTATGCGAACAGCAAATTGGAATTCAGCAAAAACTTTTTGTAAGTTTTATACATTTGTATTTGTGAAGTCAGAAAGAGAAAATATACATGATCATACAAGTAGCTTTTTTAATACTTCTAATAAGTAAATATCATGTTCTTACAGGTGTTCTTGCTCCAGAATGATCTATTGTCAGCAACCAAGATGGAGTTTCTGACGCCTACTTTGGAATGGACCAGTGGATTTTGTGTTATACGAACAGAGATAATTTGTTTAATATGGACAGTGACTTGGATGGAGAGTTGTCTCATTGGCACTCATACCACATCTTCTTGTATCTAAGTGCTAATTTGTTTGATATGGACAGTTATTATTTCGAATTTAATTTGGTTCTAAATTGTGGTGGAGTACTTAACATTTCTGTGAATTGCAATTACACGCCTTGTGGCTACAAAGATTCATATTTAACTTGAGAAATGCTGTATGGCTTACGGTACAGAATAGTCCATCATCCAAGTATATGTGTGAATTAAGGATGAGCGGCATTCTATGAGAAAGCAAGGAGGCTTTGAGGGTGAAATTCCCTCCCAGGTTATGTTGATCACAGATGTCTACTTAAAATAAGACTTAACTTGGTAGAAATTTTAATTTGTTGTAGTTTATAGATAACACTCCAGAAGATTTGAAATGTTGAATTTACCATTGAGTTTACCTTGTTGCTTTGAAACAAGGCTTTGGATATGGTTAAACAGGTAATTATAGTACACAAGGGAATGGTTTTGTCTACATGATAAAATAACTCAACTGTAAAAAAATAAGGTTGTCTATAGAAGGAAATTTTCTTATTTAATTCTCCAAGCCTCTTGGCTTCCTCATAGAATACCCCTCATCCTTTCACACATACCCTTGGATGATGGGCTATCATATACCAACCCCCTTTGGTCCCTTTTAAAAATATTCAATGCATTCCTCATACTTTTGCTACACAGGACTATATCTCATCCCCTTTTTCAGTTCAAAAACTTAGCGTTAGTCCAATTAGGGTCTATCCAGAGCGTAAAATTATTATTTTTGGGGGTTAATAATGTGTGCTGAAGAGTTTTGACAGATAAATGGAATAAACTGTTATCACAGAGATATGTCTCGCCTTTTTGTAATTTTGATAATGCAAATGTTGAAATTAAAATAGCAATACTTTAACATGTAAGTTATGCAAATATTCAAAGTCGATGAACCATGACTGAAGGTACATGGCTAAACAATCTCCATGGAAATGAGATGTGCCAATGCTAATACAACTGCATACCAAATACCATTGACTTATTATAAGTCGTTCCCTTTAAACAAACCTAAACACAAACATTAACTTGTAAACTATGTAAATGTTTCAAAGTCAATGAACCATGATCAGGGGTGGGGCTATATAATCTCCATGGAAATGTTTGCATACCAAATATCATTGACTTAACATTAGCAGTTCATCTTAAACTGATCTAATCACAAACTAATACTGTTTATACATGTAAACTAAGCAAAAGTTTCAAAGTAAATAGACCATGACTGAGGGGGCGGGGCCAAATATTCTCCATGGAAATGAGATGTGCTAATGCTTATACAACTGAACACCAATTAACATTGACCTACCACTAATGGTTCCCCTTGAACTGACCTAATCACAAACTAATACATGTTAATTTAGCAAAATTTTCAAAGTCTATAGACCATGACTAAGGGGGCGGAGCCAAATAATCTCCATGGAAATGAGATATGCCAATGCTTATACAACTGCATACCAAATATCATTGACCTACCACTAGTGGTTCCCCATAAATTGACCTAATCACAAACTAATACTTGTAAACTATGAAAAGTTTCAAAGTCAATAGACCTTGACTGAGGGGGCGGGGCCAAATAATCTCCATGGTAATGAGATGTGCCAATGCTAATACAACTGCATACCAAATATCATTGACCTACCACTAGTGGTTCACCATGAACTAGACCTAATCACAAACTAATACATTGTTGACGTCGCCGCCGCCACCGAAACAACACACCTATGTCTCGCTTTTTGACTCCGTCAAGGCGAGACAAAAATTGGAACTGGAAAGAACTATTATACAAGAAAGAGGTTTTGAATGAGAGCTTTATTTGGAAAGTACTTGTCAGGATAATGACAGTTAAAATAAAATGCTTCGCTGGGGCGCAGCTTGATACGACCGCAGAGGTCGAACCCTGAACAGTTAGGGCAAGTATGGACACAACATTCAAGCTTGATACAGCTCTGAATTTGGATTGTTATTAAATATTTGACACAGCATAGGTTTCTGACACAGAAAGAATGTGGTCTAAGAACTTGAATTTTTTCAATTTACCTATTATGGTCCAATGTCCAAAATCAAAATACATGGTTAGATTCAGCATATCAAAGAACACCATATATTCAATTTTTGTTAAAATCAAACAAAGTTTAATTTTGGACCCCAACTTGGACAAACTTGAAAACTGGGCCCATAATCAAAAATCTAAACACATGTTTAGATTCAGCATATCAAAGAACCCCAAGAATTCAATTTTTGCTAAAATCAAACTAAGTTTAATTTTGGACCCTTTGGACCTTAATGTAGACCAATTTAAAAAACGGGACTTAAATTAAAAATCTAAATACACGGTTAGATTTGGAATATCAAAGAACCCCAATAATTCAATTTTTGATGAAATCAAACAAAGTTTAATTTTGGACCCTTTTGACCTCAATATGAACCAATTTGATAGCTGGGCCCACAAATAAAAATTCTAAATTCATGGTTAGATTCAGCATATCAAAGAACCCCATATATTCAATTTTTGTTGAAATCAAAAAAAGTTTAATTTTGGACCCCAACTTGGACCAACTTGAAAACTGGGCCCATAATCAAAAATCTAAATACATGTTTAGATTCAGCATATCAAAGAACCCCAAGAATTCAATTTTTGTTAAAATCAAACTAAGTTTAATTTTGGACCCTTTGGACCTCAATGAAGACAAATTTAAAAAACGGGACCCAAATTAAAAATCTAAATACACGGTTAGATTTGGCATATCAAAGAACCCCAATAATTCAATTTTCGATGAAATCAAACAAAGTTTAATTTTGGACCCTTTTGACCTCAATATGAACCAATTTGATAGCGGGGCCTACAAATAAAAAATCTAAATACATGGTTAGATTCAGCATATCAAAGAACATCATATATTCAATTTTTGTTGAAATCATACAAAGTTTAATTTTGGACCCCAATTTGGACCAACTTGAAAACTGGGCCCATAATCAAAAATCTAAATACATGTTTAGATTCAGCATATCAAAGAACCCCATATATTCAATTTTTGTTGAAATCAAACAAAGTTTAAATACTGGACCCTATCTTGGACCAACTTGAAAACTGGGCCCATAATCAAAAATCTAAACACATGTTTAGATTCAGCAAATCAAAGAACCCCAAGAATTCAATTTTTGTTAAAATCAAACTAAGTTTAATTTTGGACCCTTTGGACCTCAATGTAGACCAATTTAAAAAACAGGACCCAAAATTAAGAACCTAAATACACGGTTAGATTTGGAATATCAAAGAACCCCAATAATTCAATTTTAGATGAAATCAAACAAAGTTTAATTTTGGACCCTTTTGACCTCAATATGAACCAATTAGATAACAGGGTCCACAAATAAAAAATCTAAATACATGGTTAGATTCAGCATATCAAAGAACCCCATATATTCAATTTTTGTTGAAATCAAACAAAGTTTAATTTTGGACCCCAATTTGGACCAACTTGAAAACTGGGCCAAAAATCAAAAATCTAAATACATGTTTAGATTCAGCATATCAAAGAACCTCATATATTCAATTTTTGCTAAAATCAAACAAAGTTTAATTTTGGACCCTTTGGACATTAATGTAGACCAATTTGAAAACTGGACCCAAAATTAAAAATCTAAATACACTGTTAGATTCGGCATAACAAATAAATAAATGTGATCAAAGATTTTACAAATCTAATGCGCCATACTGTGCAATTAAAGATTACTTCTTGAAATTTTTCAATATTTGAAATTTGAAAAAAAAATAATATTTGAAGAATAATTCTTTTTAATTTCTGAAATCTGAAATGAGAAAAAATTGGCCCCCCACAATTTCTTTTTATCCCCCCCCCCCCTTTTTCCCCCCAAAAAATTCTTTCCCTCAAGATATGGTCATAATCTCAATTCAAATTTCCAATGGAGTTGGCAACCATAATTACCCATTTAAATTTACCATAGTGCTAACTTAATCTATTTTATAATAGAATTAATAAAAATATAGTGTCAAATCTTTCATATGGATTTTTTTGTAAAAAAAAAAGATGAAAACATTTGCAGATATTTTTACTGGTCTTCCTTTATAAATATGCATTTCTTTAAACATAATTTAAAAGCAGAGTAAGGGAAGTAACCAAAACGTTGTATTTGGATTACCTCCCTTACACTGTTTTAGATTATCTTTATTGTTCATTAACCATTACTTTATACATAATTTAAAAGCAGTGTAAGGGAGATAATTTCAATGATGTATTTGATTTATCTCCCTTACACTGCTTTAAATTATGTTTTGTACTAAAGTATTTGTCCATTAACCAGGACAACCTTGTTTTTCCCCCTTTTTTGCCCCTAATTCCTAAACAGTTTGAGCCATAACCCCCCAAAGCAAATCCTAACCATCCCTTTGTGGTATGGAAACTTGTAGTATAATTTCAGAGAGATCCATACACCGTTCCACAGTTATTGTCTGGAAACTAGAAAATGCTCATTTTTGGCCCCTTTTTGGCCCCTAATTCCTTAACTGTTGGTACCATAACCCCCAAAATCAATCCCAACCTTCCTTTTGTGGTATTTAACCTTATGGTCAAATTTCAAAAAGATCCATTCACTTAAACTAAAGTTAGAGTGCGAAAACCAATATGTATTCGGACGACGACGCCGGACGACGACGACGACGCCAACGTCATACCAATATACGACCACAAAAATTTTTTGCGGTCGTATAAAAACGTAAACAAAGTACACTTCAATTAGCACTATCTTCTCACTATTAAAAACGTAAGAAAATCTAGTGAAAACTTTGTGGTAGCAAGCCTTTTCTATTAAACATCACTAGTTTGTGATATAATGGAAATTGAGTATAATCCAATATAATTGAAATACTTTAGAGGGTATTCATTAGGTCTACAGAAGGTGTATAGCATGTGTGTAATTAAAATTCTATGCAATTGTTATGTTAATAATAAAAGCAAATTGAGCATTTCTAAACTTTAAAAACTAAAATCTACTTAAACAATAATATATAACTTTTTTCATTCAATATAGCTATGGTGTTGAAACAAATTAGATTCTATTTAAAAAAAAACTTCAACAGTGAACCTTTCAGCAAAATAATGTATTTTCATGTTTTTTTTTGTTGCTATTATATTCTCTTTCTTCCTTAAATCTTATAACAAACATTATCAGAAAATGTAACAAACTGTTGACAGCACTTTCATAAGCTCCACACTGTTTGTTTATTATAATTACCATAGTATCATTGGGAGACTATACATATACATAAATAGAAATAAAAAATGTAATAACCGGGGAGTCATGCTATAAATACTTATTACAATATTCCCATCATGCTTCTTACCCTTCTATGATCATCCAAGTCTTTTTTACCCAAAGTTTTCACATCCACCTTTAATCGTCGCAACAAATAGAATGTTATACATATTATACAAAGAAGGATGTACAAACAACAGGCTATAGTAAGTTGTTTACTGATTTCTTTCTTGGTTTGTTTCGTAAAATGTAAAACCAATTTGATTAAAAATTTGCCCAATCCACATTTTCTAATTTTGTTATTATTTACTATTTCATTTTCAAATCCAATTCGGATCAAGATAAAATCAGCAACTTTTCTTCAGCTTGATGAAGCTGTAATATACCATAGCAGTTTATTATTCATCAGCATTAGCAAATATTACATGCCAAATGAAAACTGCAAAAACAGCACACTAGCATTATTTGATGATACTGAGTATTATTGCTGTGATGACATAATGACATAATGAAGGCTATTAAAAATGTTCTGCTCCTCAGGCTTATTAAACCTTAAAAAGGAAATTATGCATTTGGATATATTTAGCCCTGTTAATTGGCAAAGACTCCATATAGTGTACATCATTTTAAAACACTTAATACTAAAGTAATTAACAAATTTTTGGCAAATCTATTATAAATGTGTTGTTGTGTATCATGATATCTTTAATGTGTGCTAGACTGTCTAAATAAATTCACCTAAGTAAACAGAGCATTCCAATTCTCCAACTTTTCATGTCATTTCCCAATTGACGATAAAATTTATTTCCAGGATTTTGTTCCTGTTCTCTCTAAATTAAATTTTTGAAATGTTTTTGTTTAAAATACAGTATTGCATAAAACACCTCAGTTTTAGTATCTCATTAATTTGAAATCACATTTTTGTAAGCGTTTCATTTTTTACTAGCAATAATTTGTCTCAAATTTTTGTCTGTTGATAAACAGGCTCTGGAGATTAACACTTTTTTATAGACGTTGTTGCTTCAATTTTTTTATAAAAAACAGTATTTGTGCTTTTTCTACAGGACATTAGCACTTTATTAACATAACATTTGAGATGGATATTTTATGACTTCCCTCCTGCTTTTAATTATTCTTGCATTGCATTTATTGGTGCATCTCCACGATAGTCTTCACTTTTGAGGGTTTGATCAAAACAATATAATAAAATGCTTCGCTGGGGCGCAGCTTGATACGACCGCAGAGGTCGAACCCTGAACAGTTGGGGCAAGTATGGACACAACATTCAAGCTTGATACAGCTCTGAATTTGGATTGTTATTCAATATTTGACACAGCATAGGTTTCTGACACAGAAAGAATGTGGTCTAAGAATTTGAATTTTTTTTAATTTACCTATTATTGTCCAATGTCCAAAATCAAAATACATGGTTAGATTCAGCATATCAAAGAACCCCATATATTCAATTTTTGTTAAAATCAAACTAAGTTTAATTTTGGACCCTTTGGACCTTAATGTAGACCAATTTAAAAAACGGGACTTAAAATTAAAAATCTAAATACACGGTTAGATTTGGAATATCAAAGAACCCCAATAATTCAATTTTTGATGAAATCAAACAAAGTTTAATTTTGGACCCTTTTGACCTCAATATGAACCAATTTGATAGCGGGGCCCACAAATAAAAAATCTAAATTCATGGTTAGATTCAGCATATCAAAGAACCCCATATATTCAATTTTTGTTGAAATCAAACAAAGTTTAATTTTGGACCCCAACTTGGACCAATTGAAAACTGGGCCCATAATCAAAAATCTAAACACATGTTTAGATTCAGTATATCAAAGAACCCCAAGAATTCAATTTTTGTTAAAATCAAACTAAGTTTAATTTTGGACCCTTTGGACCTCAATGAAGACCAATTTAAAAAACGGGACCCAAATTAAAAATCTAAAAACATGGTAAGATTTGGCATATCAAAGAACCCCAATAATTCAATTTCTGATGAAATCAAACAAAGTTTAATTTTGGACCCTTTTGACCTCAACATGCTCAATATGAACCAATTTGAAAGCGGGGCCTACAAATAAAAAATCTTAATACATGGTTAGATTCAGCATATCAATGAACCTCATATATTCAATTTTTGTTGAAATCAAACAAAGTTTAATTTTGGACCCCAATTTGGACCAACTTGAAAACTGGGCCCATAATCAAAAATCTAAATACATGTTTAGATTCAGCATATCAAAGAACCCCATATATTCAATTTTTGTTGAAATCAAACAAAGTTTAAATACTGGACCCTATCTTGGACCAACTTGAAAACTGGGCCCATAATCAAAAATCTAAACACATGTTTAGATTCAGCATATCAAAGAACCCCAAGAATTCAATTTTTGTTAAAATCAAACTAAGTTTAATTTTGGACCCTTTGGACCTTAATGTAGACCAATTTAAAAAACAGGACCCAAAATTAAAAATCTAAATACACGGTTAGATTTGGAATATCAAAGAACCCCAATAATTCAATTTTTGATGAAATCAAACAAAGTTTAATTTTGGACCCTTTTGACCTCAATATGAACCAATTTGATAACGGGGTCCACAAATAAAAATTCTAAATACATGGTTAGATTCAAGCATATCAAAGAACCCCATATATTCAATTTTTGTTGAAATCAAACAAAGTTTAATTTTGGACCCCAATTTGGACCAACTTGAAAACTGGGCCAAAAATCAAAAATCTAAATACATGTTTAGATTCAGCATATCAAAGAACGTCATATATTCAATTTTTGCTAAAATCAAACAAAGTTTAATTTTGGACCCTTTGGACCTTCATATGGATTTTTTTGTAAAAAAAAAAGATGCAACATTTGCAGATATTTTTACTGGTCTTCCTTTATAAATATGCATTTCTTTACACATAATTTAAAAGCAGTGTAAGGGAAGTAACCAAAACGTTGTATTTGGATTACCTCCCTTACACTGTTTTAAATTATCTTTATTGTTCATTAACCATTACTTTATACATAATTTAAAAGCAGTGTAAGGGAGATAATTTCAATGATGTATTTGATTTATCTCCCTTACACTGCTTTAAATTATGTTTTGTACTAAAGTATTTGTTCATTAACCAGGACAACCTTGTTTTTCCCCATTTTTTGCCCCTAATTCCTAAACGGTTTGAGCTATAACCCCCCAAAGCAAATCCTAACCATCCCTTTGTGGTATGGAAACTTGTAGTATAATTTCAGAGAGATCCATACACCGTTCCACAGTTATTGTCTGGAAACTAGAAAATGCTTATTTTTGGGCCCTTTTTGGCCCCTAATTCCTTAACTGTTGGTACCATAACCCCCAAAATCAATCCCAACCTTCCTTTTGTGGTATTTAACCTTATGGTCAAATTTCAAAAAGATCCATTCGCTTAAACTAAAGTTAGAGTGCGAAAACCAATGTGTCTTCGGACGACGACGCCGACCCCGCCGGACGACGACGACGCCGACACCAACGTCATACCAATATACGACCACAAAACTTTTTTGCGGTACAAAAATTCATTGTGACCTATACATTATTTTCTAGAATAGTACCAGTATCTATAAATTTAAATCCATGTTTCAAGACTGTGTTAATGTGAACTAACTAATCTTTTTTAATTTTTGTTGATTAATGTCATTTTGCTTAGTTTCTTCTCTTACCTATTCTGACACCGGACTCAGACTTCTTTTAAACTGAGTTTTACTGCGCATATTGCTGTGTGTTTGTTTATTCCACATTGGCTGGAGGTATAGGGAGAGGTTTTGAAATCTCACAAAACATGTCTAACCCCACCCCATTTTTGCACTGGTCTCAAGTTAGGAACTTCTAGCCTTTGTTAGTCTTGTGTGTTTATTAAAAATTTTGGTTTATTTGTACGTTTCAGAGTTTATTTAGGCGTCCATTTGCTGAACTAGTATACATTATTGTTTAGGGACCAGCTGGCCTTCAGGTTCAGGTTTTTTTGTTGCGTTGAAGACCCATGGGTGGCCTTGATATGTTTTCTACTCTTTGGTCAGGTTTTTGTGACTTTGACACAGTCCCTGTTTTCATTCTCTATTCAACTAACAACAAATATAAGTTGATTTTAATTTGCATAAAAATGAAAACTCATTAAGATTACAGGCAAATGTCTGGTCAATGTAGTATAGGTGTATCAAAGTTCAAAGCGCAAAAATGTCCTTTCATGTTACAGGTAAAAAATCGCAAAGGTCATGAACATACAAATGACAACAGAAATAATTATAATATATCAAGTTAATGTAAAAGAAAACTTGTTGGACCTGAGAAACAGAACTTTTACTTTCAATGGTATTTCTATTACAAACACTTCAACAAATCATATAAAATGAGAGTAAAATTGAAAGGGAGCTTTCTTTTGTCAATCCTAATGTTGGGTTAAAATCTCATGAATTATCAGAGTCTTCATATGAAGTGTTGACATATAGACAGATGGACATCAGTTACACATTACATTATCATTCCAATTTAGAGCTTTTGCAAAATTATCCCTTTTACTGTTTCCATGAATGAACAGTTTTAGAGTTTCATTATGCATCAATAGGACAAAAATGTTCAAAGTCCCAAAACTCTCACAAAAGTTGTCAAATAAAATGGTAGGTTAAGTGAGGTCAATTGTACATAATGAAACACCCTCACTAAAAAAACTTTCGGGCAAACATTCTAAAAGAAAAAGTGTGTCACAGATGGAAAAATAGACCGAGACTATTACATTGCAACTGTGCAGCCTGACACGGAACAATGAAATAGGTTGCCAGTATATAAAGAGGAAAGATTTATTTTTTTTTTACTTGCTATATCTAAGATGCAAAAACCCAGTCATGAGATTTGTAAACAGTTTAGGACAAATGGGTTCATATTATGAGTGAAAAAAATATAAAAATATGTATTACTGTCTGAAGTACTCATTTTAAAAAAAAGTAAAAAAAAAAGTGTATTGTTAATAATCATCATAAACTATCATCAAAGCAAATAAATAAAATAATAAAAATGAACAAAAGTTACAGTTTAATACTTCAGACAGTAGTAAAATTAGCCTTAAAACAATGATTCAGCTAGACGTCAGAAGCTATAGATCAATTTCCATTTTTATAAAAATTTCTTCAAGACATTTAGAGAGAAAGTTTGACAAATGTCCTGTGACTGACACTAGCTGAATTACTGTAAAATCAAATATTTGTATATTACAATGCAATGTACCTTATCACCATAATCATTATCTACTGTCATCATCTCTCTTAATGTCTGTAATACTTTAATACATAACTTTTCTTCTTTTTCTTCTAAAAGACATTTGGTATGTCCAATCAGCCTGTAAAATGTTATTAGGTCAATGGTCATCTAATACTTATTGGTACCAAAAAATTATGTATCACAGAACAATGGCTTTGGAAATGTAGGTATATTTCTTATTTTTAATTCTCAAATTCTGATTTCTATATTAATATAAATTGTTAAAAAAAATACAACATAATGGCAAATAAGATTGAACAAAGAATGCACACCTTGTCATGCTAACCGTTCCCTCCCCTCTCCCCCATCATTTCTAATAACCTGTTTACACTATGCTGTTTTAATCCAGGTTTGAACAGATTTAATTAATCTGGGTTAAATTTAGGTAGTGTGAACATCTTAACCTGGGGCTAAAGACATTTGAAATTAAAGAAGCCAGATCTTGGGCTAAGCGGCAGAATCAGTTGTAAGTAATACTGGAGCTGTCCGCATAGGGGGGACTAATACATGCATTTTACTTGCTGCTGTGAAATTCAGTATTGAGATTTCTGGTTTTCAGCCATTCATTTGATATAATTATTGCCTCTGTGTTTGTCTGACCCATGATTACTGATAACATCAACCAGAAAGAAAATTATACTGACTCAGGAACAAAGTCTGAGGTTTGTATACTGCTAATTCAAAAATTAAAGGTCAAGGTCAGTATGATGCTACTGCATACAAAGTGTTGTCAATCTAAGTGCTACAGTATAAAAGTTATACACAAATCAAAAATCATTCAAAGTTTTACTTTCATAGGGGTAAAAGGTCAAATTCAAGGTCAGAATGACCTGACTTTGATATATGACACACCTCCATCAACCTAAGTTCTTTGGTTCAAAAAGTTATGCATAGGACACAGATCAGACAAGGTTTTACTATCATATGGGTCAAAGGTCAGGGTGATCAGATTTTGGAATATGACACACTCCTAGATTAGGTGTTGCCACAGACAAGGTCCAGCCTCATATATATTTAGTTTAAAATTTACAATCTTAACAAGAATGCCGGAGTTGTTATGCTAAGCATACCCCAACTTGAATTTAAAGTATCAGGTATCAGAAAGTAAATAGTGATAAAATTGAGAATGGAAATGGGGAATATGTCAAAGAGACAACAACCCGACCAAAGAGCAGATAACAGCCGAAGGCCACCAATGGGTCTTCAACGCAGCGAGAAAATCCTGCGTTTTGTGAGATCTCAACCCTCCCCCTAAAACTCTAGCCAATGTAGAATAAAGAAACACATAGCAATACGCACAGTAAAACTCAGTTTAAAAGAAGTCTGAGTCTGACGTCAGAATAGGTAACAAAAGAAACTAAGCAAAATGACAATGATACATAAATTAACAAAGGACTACTAGCAGTTACTGACATGCCAGCTCCAGACCTCAATTAAACTGATTGAAAGATTATGTCTTCATCATATGAAAATCAGGTACAATCCCTCCCGTTAGGGGTTTAGTATCATACCATCATAAAATATATGATGAGAACATAACCCGTATCATGCCAACAACTGGTTTTAGAATAAATGTGTTTATTTCCGATGCAAAGACCCTATGAGTGAATCAATATTAATACCAAAATATGCAATCCTTAATGATCTGACAACAGTATCGTAACTATATCCCTTCCGAATAAGTCTGTTTAAAGGTTTGGTTAGCTTTTGAGGTGAATGCCGACATTTTTGTGCTTTGTAAAGAATATTACCATAAAATATTGGATGTGAAATACCTGAACGTATAAGATGTCTGCATGTTGATTTATATTTACTAATGATGTCCTTGTACCGATGATAAAATTTAGTAAATGTTTTGACTAGTTTGTGATATCAAACCCTGGTGTAATAATTTTTCAGTAATACAGAGATTTCTTTCGTTTAAATCAAATACGTTGTTACATACACGAGCGAATTGGAACAAGTTGAGATATATAAACACCATAAGATGAGGACAAGGGAACGTCACCATCTAAAATGGATAATTAACAATAGGAAATGAAAAATCATCTCTTTTATCATAAATTTTTGTATTAAGCTTCCTGTTAAAGATAAAGATATCAAGATCCAGGAAAGGGCAGTGTTCATTGTTAGTATTAGCTTTATTTAAAGTCAGTTCGACAGGATAAATCTCTTTAGTGTACATACTGAAGTCGTCATTATTGAGAGCCAATACATCATCTAAATATCTAAAAGTGTTATTAAATTTTTGAATCAGATGTTGTTTCGATGGGTCTTAGCTGATTTTAGTCATAAATTGTAACTCATAACAATACAGAAACAGGTCCGCAATAAGTGGTGCACAGTTGGTTCCCATGGGAACACACTTTACAACTCATCACTATTGAGTTGCAGACAAAATATGAAGTCATTCTGTTGTGCAGTTTCTGAGAAAAGTGTGATTTAAATTTTAAAGTTCATTCAACATCTTGAAAAATTGAAAGTAGCAGCAAACAAGGAGTAAGTATCCGACAAATTGAAAAGTGATTACTGACAAGCTGCTGACCAAAGGAGTAGGTCCGGTAAGGGCCGATTTTGGCCTCAAACTTCAAGTTTATCTGATGAAAGATTTTTGACACTTTTTAAACACTTAGGTGTCTACTTTATTAGATTCAATTAGTTTATGTGAAAGATTTGGACTGATTTAGTCATTAAAGACGCTTAAATTCAAGCTTAGATATTAAAAATCTATCAAATATGCCATAATATGTCCCTTTTAAGATGGTTTTTGTCAAAAATGAAAGTGGCCGCATCCGTGTTCATCCTCAATCTTTATATATGTTATGTATTATAATCAAATACAACTTACATTTAAATATTAAGAATGAACACAAATGCGGCCACTTCCATTTAAGACGAAAACCGTCTAAAAATTCACTCAAATGCTCAAATTGTGAAGATTTCAGTAATTTAGCATGACTTAACGATGCTAGTACCCGATACATGTGCATTGTATTGTCAAAAACAGCCCATATTTATGTATCAGAAGTATTTTTCTTTCCAATAAATAGCTAAAAGTTAACATTTTAACAATTGTGTAAAACTGCTATATTTTGGGGCCAAAAAGGGGTCTTAGTGGACCTACTCCTTTAGTCATTCCCTCAAAAGTTTCTAAGAAAATTGTGACAAAAATGTTTGTTGGACAAAAGACGGACAAACAGATTGTAATATATCCATCACTGTTAAATCATTTTATATAATTATCAAAATATAATTTACAAAGTGCAAACTTCTTATGTAAATATTCACCCTTAAAATATTCAGGACCAATTCAAATGAAATCATTGCTTATCCAGACTTTCTTTTTTGAAACTGACATAAGTAAGAATTTTGGCAATACAATCAGATGAGGACCCTCTAAAGATCACTCCTTAAAGAATAATACAAAATATTCAAATTAATAATTCAAATAATATTTTTTTCATGTAAATTTTCCCTAACATATCCTAATTAAAATTTATCCTTGTGTGACAGTAAGAAGTCATCAGATAGATTATAGAGTTTTCCCCCCACTAAAATCATGGTAGCCATTCAAATTCAATTTACTCTGTTTGTAAATACTATAAGGGAGCTACCATTTGATTTTTATGGGGGGGCTAGGATGAAAAATTTTGTCCTGCATTTTTTTTTAGTTGTAATCTCTGTCCTGCCTTTTTATTTTTCACTCTATTTGGTCCTGCCTTCTTTTCTTTAGTTTATCCTGACTTTTTTTACCTAAATTGTCATCCTGACTTTTTTTTTTTGCAAGTGTCTCATCCTGCCTTTTTTTTTACTCAAAACTCCTGTCCTGCCTACTTTTTCAAATTTCATCCTAGCCCCCCCATAAAAATCAAATGGTAGCTCCCTAATGTAAAGTATACAAGAAAATAAGTTGATATATTTTTGATGAATTTGATAAACGAAAAAAAAATTTCTTCCTTTTTCTACTTTAAGAAAACCATAAGACCATTTGGTTTATTTTAGAATTTCTAAACAAGAGTGCACACGCTGAAATGTCTCGCCTGTTTTACTTATCATTGAATTTATGTTGAAAGTCTGTAATATGAAGGTTTTACTACAAGTATCACATAAACTTAACATTATCAATGGTCTATGAAATTGAGGTCACGGTCAGATGAACCATGCCAGACAGACATGTACACCTTACAATAATTCCATACACCAATTATAGTGGCCCTATTGCTTATAATATCTGCAAAATAGACCAAACCACAAAAACAAAAAATTGTCCAATGAACAATTAAATTGAGGTAAGGGTCAGATAAAACCTGTCAGTGGAACATGTACACCTTACAATCATTCCATATTGTAGTCCCTATATCATATATTCTGCAACTTTCATCGCAGGCAAGACAAAAAATCAAAGTGATGGAAATCACTCATGGAAAGATTGGAAAAGTAGTTTGAATTATTTCAAATTATATTTAAGTATGATTTGGACATAAAAGAACCTTAATATAGCACTATTGCAGACAATTGCATATACTACAGGTCTTTAGAAGGAAAAGCACTTTTTCAGTAGATAAAATGAGCTAAATATGAATCAATGAGAGTGGGTCAACTATTTGTTTAAATTGCAATTAATATCATCACCAAATAATGTTCCCTGTTACATGTTTCACCTTTTACATTTTATATTTAGAAACAGAAGAAACTACCAAATAAAGATTCTAACAAAGTTTATCAATTATCCTTGTAGGACATGGGGCCAACAGATAGACATGAATATAAGATCTTTATTGTCTCCAAAAATTATTCTAAAAAGGTTTTTTAGGGGACATTTTGTAAGTTGAAACATGGGAATAATATTTTTCTCCTCTAAAAATTGCTTATTGATTTTGAAAACAATTATTATGAATATATGTTATTGAAGATTAAAAGTTGTAGGATGTATTTTAATTCAATTTATAATTTAATATTTTCCAGAAAAGGGCATTGAAAATGTACTTTTTCAACATAAACAAATTAAAAAACTTATTTTATTGAAATGGGGATTCCTTCTTCATTGCAAAAATACACTTCCTGTATTCCAATAACTTCTATTGTTCAAAGAAATTTGATGGGGAATAAACTAAAAAAAAAAATTTGGTTTGCTCAGTTACAAATTTTAAATTTTTTCTTACTGTTTCAAGCCAATCACTGATAAGTGTTATGTCATGGTGTGTTATTTGGCTTATATTTTTAATAGTATGATTTTGTATAAAAAAATATGTTTTATCTTTTAGAAAGAAAATTTTAAGTTTGTATCTTGTAAAATTTTTTAATTAATTTGTTTAATAATTTTACCTATGCTGTGGCATTAATACTCGAAATGTCACAGTTTGCTCAAAGCACTTTGATTTGAAATATTAATTGTAATTAGCATGTCACTAGGATATTTTAAGTTTTTATCAAAACATGAAGGGATTTTGCTTTGTTTAATTATATTCTATTTTGCTAATGAGAGTACTATTTACATATTGTGTCATGTTGATTAGTTTTTGGTTTTAGTATAAATAGCGTTGTGAAATTTAGGAAAAGCAGTCACCTTTCGGAAACCTTAACTTGCACTGCTAAAGTCTATTATACTGGATCTGTAAGACTGTTGATCAGTCTACCAGTTGACTTTGTAGTGTTTAGACAAAAATGTATTTTTGACTCGCCTTTTATTTTTGAGAAAACTTTAGAAAACAGTCAGTGTTTCGGAAGCGTAACCTCTCACTACTCACGTCATGATACTGGACCTATAAGAATGTCTACCAGTCTACCAGTTGACTGTGTAGTGTTGAGACAAAATTTATCTCTGACTCATAATTTAACTTTGGAAAATACTTTTGGGAATCTTTTATTTTTGAGACTTTTACATTTTGATTTTGAGATTAAGTTCATTTTATGATTTAGTAGTTTTGGCATTTATTTTACATTTGACATTGTAAGGAGAAATAGTTTTACTTTGGATTTGATATTTAGATTTTTACTTTGTACTTTAATTATTATTATTATTTGGCATTGTTTACTAATTGATTGTTATCATCATTCATCTAAATTGTTATCGTAAATTAAATTATGAAAACCTTCCTTGCGTTTTAGCTATGCCTATCAGAACATTAAGTCTAGCGATAGACTGACCCCCTGTCCCTTGGTTCCAGCACATACGAGTTAGCTCCCCCTTATCTAACAGTGCTCTGTGGGACCTTGGTGACAGATATGGTGGAGTTTGACCCTGGGCACGATACAAATGAAATTCTGAAACTGCATAGCTAGAATGTAGGTTGGCAAAATTCATTCAAAATTATCTAAAACTTAAATTTTCAAAATTGAGACAACAGCAGGAGAGACAACGAGAGGAAGAGAGAACCAGTAACAGCAGAGACAAGTTGCAGATTCAACAACACACAACTAAAAGATAAGTACATCTTGCTTATTATATTACACTTTAATATTTCTTAGTGAAAAGTATAGATGTATGTTGATTCTTGGTGTGAATCTGTAATTTTATAATATTTGTTTGTGCAAAACTTTACAGAAGTTAACATTCAATTCAGGAGAAATATTATTTGTGCAATTTTCTTTGATTGGCAAATTTGAGTCATAGTAGAGAAATTAACATAAACAAGATACTGACAAAATTCCTTTTAGTTTCAGTTTGGTAATTGGAATAAAAAAAAATCATGGGAAGAAAGAGAATTTCAAAAGGATGGTGCTGCCAAAGAGACAGATGTGCCAGGCTATCCAGTGTTATACCAGGAACAGCAAGTTTCCAGTTCACAACAACCATGGAGAGGAACTTTGTTGAAATTGGACTAGAGAACCTTCAAGTGAGATGTTTAGTCGACAGTGGAGCTTCTTTTAGCTGTATCAGCCAACATCAATTATACCGTCTAAACACTACTACAGCGATACAGAAATCAATGATCAATAGTGCAGTCGGTGTCTGTGGAGAAGTACACGCAATAATTGGAGAAATAGTGCTTCAACTTTCTTTTGGACATCTGAGCAGAAATTCATAATTTTTTAACATAACTTGCTAGAGCTTATTTATAGGATTAAACTTTTTGTGAAACAACAAAGCGAAAACAGACTAAAAGAACAGAACTTTGACATTACCAACTCAGATCATTTAGACATTAGTGAATATCATGATGGTGCTTATCATTTTACCATAGCAACCTTCCAAGACAGTAGCACATAGAAAACAATCAGTTTCTATCTTTTTTTTTGTAGTATTAGGAATTAGTAGGAGTGCACGCCTGTTGGTTCTTTTTACTACATCAATTTGAATTTTGGATTACAGGGATATTATTTTATAATTCATCTGTTAAATTTCCTTACAAGGAATACAGGTTGCTGGAAGCTAGCACGTTGAAATAAATTGTTGGTATATTTATTTTTTGGCGCCAGGTTATAGTTTGTACAGAGTGTATTGAGATATTTTTAGGTGTTACTATGTAAATGTTTATATCATGTTTGGGGACAAACATATAAGAGCAGGGGGGAATATGTCATGGTGTGTTATTTGGCTTATATTTTTAATAGTATGATTTTGTATAAAAAAATATGTTTTATCTTTTAGAAAGAAAATTTTAAGTTTGTATCTTGTAAAATTTTTTAATTAATTTGTTTAATAATTTTACCTATGCTGTGGCATTAATACTCGAAATGTCACAGTTTGCTCAAAGCACTTTGATTTGAAATATTAATTGTAATTAGCATGTCACTAGGATATTTTAAGTTTTTATCAAAACATGAAGGGATTTTGCTTTGTTTAATTATATTCTATTTTGCTAATGAGAGTACTATTTACATATTGTGTCATGTTGATTAGTTTTTGGTTTTAGTATAAATAGCGTTGTGAAATTTAGGAAAAGCAGTCACCTTTCGGAAACCTTAACTTGCACTGCTAAAGTCTATTATACTGGATCTGTAAGACTGTTGATCAGTCTACCAGTTGACTTTGTAGTGTTTAGACAAAAATGTATTTTTGACTCGCCTTTTATTTTTGAGAAAACTTTAGAAAACAGTCAGTGTTTCGGAAGCGTAACCTCTCACTACTCACGTCATGATACTGGACCTATAAGACTGTCTACCAGTCTACCAGTTGACTGTGTAGTGTTGAGACAAAATTTATCTCTGACTCATAATTTAACTTTGGAAAATACTTTTGGGAATCTTTTATTTTTGAGACTTTTACATTTTGATTTTGAGATTAAGTTCATTTTATGATTTAGTAGTTTTGGCATTTATTTTACATTTGACATTGTAAGGAGAAATAGTTTTACTTTGGATTTGATATTTAGATTTTTACTTTGTACTTTAATTATTATTATTATTTGGCATTGTTTACTAATTGATTGTTATCATCATTCATCTAAATTGTTATCGTTAATTAAATTATGAAAACCTTCCTTGCGTTTTAGCTATGCCTATCAGAACATTAAGTCTAGCGATAGACTGACCCCCTGTCCCTTGGTTCCAGCACATACGAGTTAGCTCCCCCTTATCTAACAGTGCTCTGTGGGACCTTGGTGACAGTTATCTAAATTATTGATTCAGTAGATGATTATTGCATAAATTTATAAAGTAAAATATAGACCTTACTTGAATACCTTTTTTACTTTTATTTTTATATTTAATATTTTGTCTTTTCTTATGACAAAAAAAAGATCTTGTTAATTGTTAATCATTTTTCTTTCAGACATAATTATAGAATCATTTTCTGTAGTGTAGATCAAAAGTAATAGGCAATGAATAAATCTATAATTTCTATATTTCAAACATCTAACATATACATTTGTGTATACAATAATGAGGTCAAGTATTTGTGTATTGAAATGTATAATGAAGGATCTGCTTAATTATGAAAGACTGAGGTTGATAAGAAATTTGGTCAAAATGATTGGCATTTAAGGAGATGAGACATTCTAATTTAGTCCCACCTTTTCTCTGATTGCTTGGTGATCATGGCAGTCAATCATGCTGGTAATGTATCATTACTCTTACCTAATTAAAATGACAAAACTAGCCTGTAAATTGACAAAACTAAAGACACACATACTTGAATGAACTGCTCCAAAGATATAACCCAAATTTTTCACAGTTCATATGTGCATATGTACAATACGCATGAGAATTACAGGGAACTATATTTCAGTGTGTATACATTCTGTAGATTTAGTAGCTAACCTGTGCTGGAAAGACTTGGAACAATAGTTCCAAATTTTCCAAAAACTTATTGATTCCTAACTTCCATTTTCTTTTCAGAGTGACAGGTTACTGTAGGTATGTGTGTATGTATGTATGTATGCAAGTTATGAATATTCCTCCTCTAAGGAGGACCACAACCATGAGATATGGTGTAACGAAGGATCACTAGTTCGTTACTGAGGTCAAACAACAAATGTACCTATGATCATTCAGGGATAGGAAATTTTCTAAAAGTAATCTGAAACTGATGTTTAATTCAAGTGCTGATTTTTAATATTATAAATGCATTCTTTTTAATACATTTAGGTGGCCTTCGGCTGTTTTCTGCTCTTTGGTCGGGTTGTTGTCTCTTTGACACATTCCCCATTTCCATTCTCAATTCTATTATGATTATTATAATGCAATAAAAAATATCTAATATTCTAGAATGAAAGATGAAAATATTACCGAGATATAAATCCTCCTATTTCACATTTTGTACCAGCAGGGAATAAGTGTTCTGGAAAATGAAGAACATCAACAAGAACAGACAACTCTGCTTGGACCAGTGGACGAAGACGATCTTCTAGAAGCTCAACTATTTCCTGAAAAATAGTTATGCTTTCAATAAATAAAACTTCACAAGTTAATAGATTGCTTGTTGCTTAACATCTAGCTGCAAATATAAAATGCATATTCATGATGAGATGCATGAAATGAGAGATCATTATCAGCCTGATATAAGTATGTTGCTGGAGAACTGAACTATCATAAAATTTTGTATGTATTTAGAACTTTTTGAACAGGATTTGAATATTGAAAACAAGAAATATGCTGTCAAATTGACAGCAAACCAGTTAAAAGTGAAATCCTCAGTATCGAACTTGACCTCCATTTTGTTATCAGTAGCAACATATTTTAAAAATTTGAACAGCAATGGTTCAATGGTTCATGAGTTATTGACAGCTGTACTTCACAATTTCAATATCTAGATTTTTGATGGATGAATTAGCAGAGTTGCTACCTAAATGGATTTGTACATGTTGTATTAGAGGTAACATTTTTTTTTTATCAGGAACTTATTTTTGGTTTGTCTTGAATGTTGTAATCATAACTTAAATGTCTGCTGAAAATCTTTTTGAAAGGATGATTGGCATTAGGACCTAGGTATAAAAGAATTGAATAGTATATGTATTTTAATCAAATGTACAAAGAGCAAATGGAGCATTTTCAAAGAAAATTTGGTGACGGTAACTGGTTAAACAAATCGAATGCCCCAATGCCAAATACCATTGACTTATCATAAGTGGTTCCCTCAACACTAACCTAAACACAAACTTTAACTTGTAAACAATGTAAAAGTTTCAAAGTCAATGATTCTTGATAGGTGTTCGGCCAAATAATCTCCATGGAATAGAAGACTAGCAAATGCTGATACTATCATTGACTTAACATTAGTGGTTCCTCTTAAACTATGCAAAACATTCAAAGTCAATAGACCATGACTGAGGGAGGCAGAGCCAAATGATCTCCATAGAAATGAGATGTGCCAATGGGTATGCATCTGCATACCAAATATCATTGACCTACCATTAGTGGTTCCCCTTAAACTGACCTAATCACAAACTAATACATGGTAAGTAAGCAAAAGTTTCAAAGTCAATAGGCCATGACTGACGGGGTTTGGCCAAACAATCTCCAAGGAAATGAGATGTGCCAATGCTAATAATACAACTGAATACCAAATATCACTGACCTACCACTAGTGGTTCATCATCAACTGACCTAATCACAAACTTATACATTATAGACGCCTGTAACCTTCGACGCTGGAAACAGCATACCTAAGTCTCACTTTTTGCCCTGGTCAAAGTGAGACAAAAATGTTATATCTACTAATAAACCATGATAATGAGGTCAAGGTCAGATGAAACTTAACAAACAGACATGTACACCTTACAATCATTCAATACACCAAATATAGTCTACCTCCTGCTTAATGTCCTGAGAAAGAGACTTTAACAGAAAACTTTACTTTGATAACTGATCCATGAAATGAGTCAGGTAAACCCTATCCGATTGACATGTACACCTTGTAAGGATCCCTTATACCAGATAGAGTTATCCCAATACTCATAATGAGTGAAATAAAATGCTCCGCTGGGCGCAGCTTGATACAACCACAGAGGTCGAACCCTGAACAGTTGGGGCAAGTATGGACACAACATTCAAGCTTGATACAGCTCTTAATTTGGATTGTGATTAAATATTTGACACAGCATAGGTTTCTGACACAGAATGAATGTGGTCTAAGAACTTAAAAATTTTTAATTTACCTATTCAAACCATATCATTATTATTTGCTTTTATATATAAATCAGAAATAACCAACTTAAAATGGAAAATTTTAAAGAAAAAAAAAATCCCCTCCAAATTTTTTGAACCCCCTTATTATTCATCACCCCCAAACTCAATCCCAGCCTTCCCTTTGTGGTATGGTACCTTGCAGTACAGTTTCAGAGAGATCCATACACTTGAACACAAGTTATTGTCTGGAAACTAGAAAAATGCTTGTTATTTGGCCCTTTTTTGGCCCCAAATTCCTAAATGTTTAGGGCAGTTACCCCAAAACTCAATTCCAGCTTTCCCTTTGTGATATGGAACCTTGTAGTACAATTTCAGAAAGATCCATACACTTACAAGTTATTGTCATGAAACTAGAAAAATGCTTGTTTTTTGCCCCTAATTCCTAAAATTTTGAGGCAATTACCCCCAAAATTGATCCCAGCATTCCCTTTGTGATATGGAACCTTGTGGTACAATATCAGAGAGATCCATACACTAACACACAATATATTGTCTGGAAGTTACAAAAATGCTTATTTTTGGCCCCTAATTCCTTAACTGTTGGTACCATAACCCCCAAAATCAATCCCAACCTTCCTTTTGTGGTATTGAACCTTATGGTAAAATTAATTTCATAGAGATCCATTCACTTAAACTAAAGTTATTGTGCGAAAACCAATGTGTCTTCGGACGACGACCCTGACGACGCCAACGTCATACCAATATACAACCGCAAAAATTTTTTGCGGTCGTATAAAAATTGACTTGACAAAAAACCACATAGTTTTATTAAGCAGTCACTGAACCATGAAAATGAGATCAAGGATAACTGACATATGACAGTCGTCAACTTTGTTACATATGGTATCTTAATACAAGTTACAAAGCATCCAGGTCTTCTACCTTCTGAAATATAAAGCTTTCTACAATTAGTTAACGCTGTCTCCACAGCCAGATTAGCACCCCCATCTCTCACATTCTTGGAATTTTATCGCAGGCAAAACAAAATTGATACTAGTTATAACATTTTACAGCATGCATAAATAGCAACTTATTTACTGAAATCTAAACCACTGTTTGTGAAGTGCAAATTGACCAAATGAAAAGTTGTATAAAGAAGTTGAAATTCAGCTGAACATTTCCTTTCAGTACTGGCCAGTTAGCAACTGATTCATTGTGCAACAAATGTGACATAATAGTTTTTGAAAGAAACAAACAAATGATAAATTACATTATTTTTACCAAAACTGTTTTATTTCCATAGTCAACAGCTGTCCTTATATTACTGAATTACATCACTTCTATTTTAATAATGTATTAGGTGCATCTCAATAGTTTATCAATTTGCACTTACCATACAATGTCTATGTATATCAAGGAACACAACTCAATGAAATTGTTAGCTTTTAAAAAGTAATAAACAAATAAAGAACTTCTCTTATTTATCTACAGCAGAATACATAAAATAGACATCTCTGTGTAAAAATCTATCTAATACATGTATATATGACATAGTGTTTGATTATGTGATTTAGTTCTGAAAAATGATAAATAAACCAAATAAGGTATAAAGACAACCACTATATTGTGCAACAGAACTTGTAAATGCTATTCAAATGTTAAAAATTTACACTGAAAACTCAGCTGAAAACAATAAAATCACAAAATGTAACCATCAGACCTGTCAACTTGAATTTTTAATTGCAGTCAGGAACAGATGCCAGCAGTACCAAATGTGTCCCTTTTTTTCTTATTATTTGTTCAAAAATGAAATGCAATGTTTATATATGGACTTCTGCCATACCTTTTTTGATTTTTGCTTCCATATCTAAACGATCATTTTCAAGCCTGTTGAAGATGAACACTTGATTCACTAAAGAAGGAAATATTGTGATTTTTTTTCATTTTAGAAGAGTTTTGTCAATGGTCGCTATCTCATTTATGCAAGAACCATTTCATGCCCTATTCCTATTTACGGAATTTAAAGTAAGTAGCAGACATTGCATAGCAAAAAAGATATCAATTTAGCTTTTTCACACAAAAGATTAAAGAAGATACATGTATACGACAGACAGGAGAAAATAAGTGACAGATCTAAAAATATGTCACACAGGAGGATTTACGATACAAAGCTTGGTACCAAATGTCAAGAATCTCTTATTTGTAAGTGCTGAGAAAAATGCTACAAAAGATTCTTATACTTGCACCAATGTGAAGAACATACATGTATGTAGCAGACAGGATGTTGATAAGTAAATGATCTGAAAATGTGTCACACAGTTAAGCTTAACAATATCAATCCTTGTACCCAATATCAAGAAGCTCTGATTTGCAGTTACCAAGAAAAATGTGACAGAAATGTAATAAAGATGGACACAGTAGACAAGTATAATCAGCCCACCCCTCCTCTGGAACAGGGGTATAAATACAAAAGGGTTTCATATATATAGATCACATCACAATGTTACCTAGACAAGGCATATAGTTATCAATTGGAACTACACTAAGAGGCTCTAAATAGTCTATGTCCCTCACCTACGTCTATGTGCATCTTGAAGAATGGACACTCTCCAATATTGTACACTAGAAGATAATTCATGACTAAAATTTCTATTGTTGATCTTTTTTTCTGTTTACAGTTTCTTTCTATATTCTAGACTTTTTACTCAAAACACATAAATTAAAAGGTAATTATTTGTCATTTAAGAGCAATAACTCCTATAAGAAGACTACTGATAATTTCATCTTTGCTGATCTATTATGCCTTACGGATCATTTTTGATATTAAAACTTTTATCTATCTATAATAGTTTAAAGATAATAGGCAAAAACTTTTTTTAAAAATGATAAGGGAACTTAAGTTCCTATGAATAGTGAACTAATGATTTCAGTAACATTAGGTTATTTGTAGATTTGGCCTTGAGGATAATTTTTTGTGGTTTTTTGACTGTTTCTATACGTCTATTGCAGTTTTTAAAATAATTGGCAAAAGCACAAAAAAATTTGTTAAAAATCATTTTTTAAGGGCAATAACTCAAATACAAACTTGAATGACGATTTTGGCCATGTTGATTTATTTGTAGATCTTATTTTGCTGATCAATTTTGTTATTTAAAGTCTCTATCTATCTATTATAGCTTTAGATAACAGGCAAAAATGCAAAAAAATTGGTAAAAATGGTCATTTAAAGAAATCACTTCAATTTAGAGTCGACTGACGTTTTTGGTCATGTTGACCTATTTGAATATCTTGTTTTGCTGATCATTTTTTACCTAATCATGAAAACTTATAAGCCTGGTCTCTTTGATGAGTTACTTTAAGTCAATATTAATGAGACATACTCAATGAGGAACATACCTCTTTCTGAAACTGAACCTGATCAATGAAGCCATCAAATAAAGTCTAGGTCATGTGACATACCCCCTTTCAAACCATCAAAATACAAAATAGTGTTGACTGTTCATATATTGATACAGTGGAACATACATAATTGTGACACATCACTACTTGAGCAAGGAAATAAGGTCAAGACCATTATACACATACCAGATGAAAATACACTACTTGTATAGCAAATATTGTTAATCTTAATGTACAGTTCCAGAGAACAAGGCCTCATTCTGAAAATAACCAGACCACCGAAGCCTGAAAATGAGATATGGTAACATTGACTATTCATCATGAACAATCCTATACACAGTTTATCAGGGCCTCAGAAGAACAGTATTATAAATAATTTACTGTGATCCCTAGCCTGTAAACTCCGAGGTTATGAGTTCCAAACATGTTCTTGGTGAGGTGTGTTGGACTCCAATATTAGTTGACAAGTATTGCCAGTTTTTTGCCTTAGGTCGTGATTCTCTGCACATACCCTGGCTTCCTTCACCAATAAAAACAATTTGTCATGATATAACCAAGGTTACTGAAAGTGGCACTAAACACCAACAAACAGACGTTTTGTTATCCTAATTGAAAGTAAGGATAAGATATTGATGTTATCTGCAAAATTAATGCCACCAGAAAAGTAATCCTAGGTCTTTCCTGGCATGACTATGTCATAGACAAAACAAAAATATATCAAAAACTAATAAAATGCTCCGCTGGGCGCAGCTTGATACGACCGCAGACGTTGAACCCTGAACAGTTGGGGCAAGTATGGACACAACATTCAAGCTTGATACAGCACTGAATTTGGATTGTGATTAAATATTTGACACAGCATAGCTTTCTGACACAGAATGAATGTGTTCTAAGAACTTAAAAATTTTTAATTTACCTATTCAAACCATATCATTATTATTTGCTTTTACATATAAATCAGAAATAACCAATTTAAAATGGAAAATTTTAAAGAAAAAAAAAGGAAACCCCCCCCCCAAATTTTTTGAACCCCCTTATGATCCATCACCCCCAAACTCAATCCCAGCCTTCCCTTTGTGTTATGGTACCTTGCAGTACAATTTCAGAGAGATCCATACACTTGAACACAAGTTATTGTCTGGAAACTAGAAAAATGGTTGTTTTTTGTCCCCTTTTTGGCCCCAAATTCCTAAATGTTTGGGCAATTACCCCCCAACTCAAACCCAGCTTTCCCTTTGTGATATGGAACCTTGTAGTACAATTTCAGAGAGATCCATACACTTGAACACAAGTTATTGTCTGGAAACTAGAAAAAAGGTTGTTTTTTTGTCCCCTTTTTGGCCCCAAATTCCTAAATGTTTAGGGCAATTACCCCCCAACTCAAACCCAGCTTTCCCTTTGTGATATGGAACCTTGTAGTACAATTTGAGAGGGAACCCCCCCCCCCCAAATTTTTTGAACCCCCTTATGATTCATCACCCCCAAACTCAATCCCAGCCTTCCCTTTGTGTTATGGTACCTTGCAGTACAATTTCAGAGAGATCCATACACTTGAACACAAGTTATTGTCTGGAAACTAGAAAAATGGTTGTTTTTTGTCCCCTTTTTGGCCCCAAATTCCTAAATGTTTGGGCAATTACCCCCCAACTCAAACCCAGCTTTCCCTTTGTGATATGGAACCTTGTAGTACAATTTCAGAGAGACCCATACACTTGAACACAAGTTATTGTCTGGAAACTAGAAAAATGGTTGTTTTTTGTCCCCTTTTTGGCCCCAAATTCCTAAATGTTTAGGGTAATTACCCCCAATCTCAAACCCAGCTTTCCCTTTGTGATATGGAACCTTGTAGTACAATTTGAGAGAGATCCATACACTTGAACACAAGTTATTGTCTGGAAACTAGAAAAATGGTTGTTTTTTTGTCCCCTTTTTGGCCCCAAATTCCTAAATGTTTAGGGCAATTACCCCCCAACTCAAACCCAGCTTTCCCTTTGTGATATGGAACCTTGTAGTACAATTTCATAAAGATCCATACACTTACACATAAGTTAATGTCCTGAAACTAGAAAAATGCTTGTTTTTTGCCTCTTTTTGGCCCCTAATTCCTAAAATTTTGAGGCAATTACCCCCAATTCAATCCCAGCATTCCCTTTGTGGTATGGTACCTTGCAGTACAATTTCAGAGAGATCCATACACTTGAACACAAGTTATTGTCTGGAAACTAGAAATAAACTGATTCGCTGAGCGCAGCTAGATACGCCTGCAGAGGTCCAACCCTGAACAGTTGGGGCAAAAATGGACACAATATTCAAGCTTGATTCAGGTCTGAATTTGGATTGTAATTTAATATTTGACATATTATAGGTTTCTGAATAAATGTAGTCAAAGAATTTGAAATTGGTTATATGAATTGAATTTATATTCAATTAAAGATTTCTTGCTGTTGTGCAATACTTAGTAAATCTGTTGTCAGACTATAAACAAATAAAGTTCAATTAATTCTCAATGTCATATCAGAAATTTATGAAAATAAAAAGAGAGCTTACATCAATAGATATAAACAATTCACCAAAGTTTCATGAGAATTGGTGACAGCATTTTTGAGTTATTGTCAGAAAACTGGAAAATCACCCCATTTTTTAATAAATAAAACCCCATAACTCAGAAATGTAAAATGTAAAATTTATGAAATTCTAAAGGGAGCTTACATCAATACATACAAACAATTCACCAAAGTTTCATAAGAATTCCTGAAAGCATTTTTGAGTTTTTGTCCGAAAACTGGTAAATCCTCCCTTTTTTATGAATAAAACCCTGTAACTCGGAAACGTAAAATCTAAAATTTATAAAAATGGAAAGGGAGCTCATGTCAATAGATATAAACAATTCACCCCACAATTTCTTGCAAGTTGGTGAAAGCATTCTTGACTTATTGTCCGAAAACTTGAAAATCCCCCTTTTTTTAATGAATAAAACCCTATAACTCGGAAATGTAAAATCTAAATTTTATAAAAAACGAAAGGGAGCTAACGTCAATAGATATAAACAATTCACCAAAGGTTTTATGCAAATTGGTTAAAGCATTTTTGAGTTAATGTCCGACATGTTGACGACGGAACAGACGGACAGAGGTATACCATAATACGTCCCGTAAACGGGCGTATAAAAATGCTCATTTTTGGCCCCTTTTTGGCCCCTTATTCCTTAACGTTTTGGGCAATGACCCCCGAACTCAATTCCAGCTTTCCCTTTGTGATATGGAACCTTGTAGTACAATTTCAGAAAGATCCATACACTTACACACAAGTTATTGTCATGAAACTAGAAAAATGCTTGTTTTTGGCCCCTAATTCCTAAAATTTTGAGGCAATTACCCCCAAAATCAATCCCAGCATTCCCTTTGTGATATGGAACCTTGTGGTACAATGTCAGAGAGATCCCTTGTGGTACAATGTCAGAGAGATCCATACACTAACACACAAGTTATGTCTGGAAGTTACAAAAAATGCTTATTTATGGCCCCTTTTTGGCCCCTAATTCCTTAACTGTTGGTACCATAACCCCCAAAATCTATTCCAACCTTCCTTTTGTGGTATTGAACCTTATGGTAAAATTTCATAGATATCCATTCACTTAAACTAAAGTTAGAGTGTGAAAGCCAACGTCATACCAATATACGACCTCAAAATTTTTTTGCGGTCGTATAAAAACTGATGGTGTTATTAAAGTTGTAAACGGGAGTAATGGTAAGTGTGCCAAGATGGTATAACAACGGTTTGGCTTTTGTTAAAGATGCAATGGAATGTGACAAGTTAATGGAAAGCAGCTGATGACTGGGGGATGTGGACAAGTTGACAGATCTGCTTTGTAACACACAATACCTGAATAACCTCTTCAACCTCCTCCTCTGGTAGGCAACTAATACCCTAATATAAATAAATGCTATTTTGTACTTTTCCATATCAACATAACCATATGAAAGCATGGCCCTTTGATAGTGACATTAGAAAATAAAGAAACATTCTTAGTTTCATGCATATAAATCTTTGCAGACACCTGAGTCGTAAGTAAAGTAGACCAAGTATTTCTTAATCTAAACATCATTTAAAATAAATAATAAACAACCATTTTGAGAGCATTGCATATGCAGTAAAATGTCCACTACCAGAAGGGACATTTTATGAATTTAAACTTATAAGGTCAAGCATCAGAATAGGAGGTAATTCTGCTGAATTATCAATCTAAATTTGGAAAGAGTTGTTGGTGATGTAGTTGTGAATTTCCATATTATTTTCAATTGGTTCAGAATATTAATTTAAAGATTTAAAAAATTTCAACAACTGTCCCTGAAGAATTATGTTCCCCCCCATGAAATTTTCTACATTCAAGGGACTCAAATTTAACAAAAATTCCTAAACCATCTAATTTTATCTGTAACTTCTTATAATATAACTATATACTAATCTAGAATTCAGTGATCTAGAGATCACAGATACCCCTGTCTGCAGCATAATTCTTTACCGGTAAATGTACACAGTCATACTGACCTGTATATTTAGGTCAACGACAGTGTTTAAATTTAAAAAGATTCTGTCAAGTGGAACATTTACTATCATCCAGAAACAAAAAGATTTGTAAGGGGTGCCACGGAACCCTGTGTCTCGCCTGCGATTGCTGAGCGCTGTCAGTATAAAAGTGTAATAGATATAAGAAGATGTGGTATGAGTGCCAATGAGATAACTCTCCATCCAAGTCACAACTTGTAAAAGTAAACCATTATAGGTCAATGTATGGCCTTCAAGACGTAGCCTTGGCTCACACCGAACAGCAAGCTATAAAGGGGCCCAAAAATGACTCAAACAGGAAAACCAACGGTCTAATCTATATAAATAAACTGCATCACTGAGCGCAGCTGGATACGCCCGCAGAGGTCATACCCTGAACAGTTGGGGCAAAAAATGGACACAATATTCAAGCTTGATACAGGTCTGAATTTGGATTGTATTAAATATTTGACATATTATAGGTTTCTGAATAAATGTAGTCAAAGAACTTGAAATTGGTTATATGAATTGAATTTATATTCAATTAAAGATTTCTTGCTGTTGTGCAATACACTGTGCTGTTGCGCAATATTTAGTAAATCTGTTGTCAGACTATAAACAAATTAAGTTCAATTAATTCTCAATGTCATATTAGAAATTTATGAAAATGTAAAGGGAGCTTACATCAATAAATATAAACAATTCACCAAAGTTTCATGAGAATTGCTGACAGCATTTATGAGTTATTGTCCGAAAACTGGAAAATCACCCCTTTTTTAATGAATAAAACCCCATAACTCAGAAATGTAAAATGTAAAATTTATAAAATTCTAAACGGAGCTTACATCAATAGATATAAACAATTCACCAAAGTTTCATAAGAACTGCTGAAAGCATTTTTGATTTTTTGTCCGAAAACGCGAAAATCCCCCTTTTTTATGAATAAAACCCTGTAACTCGGAAATGTAAAATCTAAAATATATAAAAATGGAAAGGGAGCTCATGTCAATAGATATAAACAATTCACCACACTTTCTTGCAAGTTGGGGAAAGCATTCTCGAGTTATTGTCCGAAAACTGGAAAATCCCCCTTTTTTTAATGAATAAAACCCCATAACTCGGAAACCTAAAATCTAAAATTTATAAAAAACGAAAGGGAGCTCACGTCAATAGATATAAACAATTCACCAAAATTTTATGCAAATTGGTTTAAGCATTTTTGAGTTAATGTCCGACATGTTGACCACGGACGGACAGAGGTATACCATAATACGTCCCGTTAACGGGCATATAAAAACGAGAAACGAGAAACACTTATGAACCACATCAACAAACGACAACCACTGAACATCAGGTTCCTGACTTAGGACAGGTGTAAACAAATGCAGCGGGTTTAAAAGTTTTAATAGGCGCCAACCTTCAGCCTACCTGAAACATGTTGACTTAAATAGTGAGTCCATTTATCAGTAAAATACAGAATTTAAACAAAATTCAAACTTTTTCTTTAGATGCTATTTCATTGTCTTGAAGATTAGCTTCTGTCCAAGTTTCATAACAATCCATGAAGGTTTACAAATTTATCATGTCAAAAAAGTTTAATCTCAGACTGTCTGTAAATGTAAACTGTAAAAAACTAAGTCTTTCTATCAGAAAAATACTGACAATGAAAAAAAAAAAAAAAATTCAAAAGTTTGCTTCAGACATTATCTCTTAATCATAAAAAAGCTTCTGCCAAAGTATCATAAAATTCTATGAAGGTTTGACAAAGTAATTGATGTGTAACAAACTTTAAACCCAGACTGTATCTACTTGTTAAATGTAAAAAAATAATAAGTCCATTTATCAGCAAATACAGAAAAATGAAAATAAGTATTTTCAAAATTTTGCTCTGACTATTGTATTTTGGTCAAAACTAAGCTTTTGTCCAAATTTCCTAAAATTCCATGAAAATATGACAAAGCTATTGAGGTCTAAAAAAACTTTAACCACAGACTGAACCTAAATGTTGATGCTGCTGACGCCGAAAATGGAATCTAGGATCGCTATGTCTCACTTTCTTGACATAAATGTTCCAGGCTTGACAATAAAACTCTGATTTTAAGAAAACTAAGGGACATAACTCTTTATCAGTAAATGTCAAATCCATCAAAATCATACTTCACCTGTAGGTTATGGTCCCATGATATCGTTTTAAAATTAAAAATATTCTCTCAATTGGTACTTTAGTTATCACCAGGAAACCAAAAAAACAAACACCTAATTTTTAAGATAATTAATATACAAATTCTGATCTGGTAGAATTACATATTCCCCGAATTAATTATGTTAAAAGTGTAACTTACATCACATACTAAAATGCAGCTTAGCAAATCTAATTGGCATTTCAAAGCTAGATCTGTGCAAAACAGCAATTTGGTGGCTAGCAATTTAAAAACTTTCTTATGAAATCAATCTGCATTACCTTTTTACCATTCCTAGCCAATCATACAAAATTTATGTATTTTCAATTATTAAAGATATCATTGAAATTAACTATCAAAACTACATAAATATTATATATGAAGCAGCACACCTCAACCATAAAAGAAAGTAAACTCTGTACTGAAACTTTTACCTGTAAACCTTCAATAATGTTTCTGTAATCTCTAGAAACTGAAGCAACTGACTCTCTTTTATTTGATCGTACAGACATCCATTGTTTGGCCTGTTTTGCCACAATCTGTGCTTTCTCAAACATAATGCTAACTTGGCTGTCTAAATCTACTGGAATTGCTATCCCTCTAGTCTTTGCTGAAAAAGAGTTCTCCTCTATTTCATTACTTATTTAAGACTAATACGAAAGCACACAAAGTGGTTTTATGCAGATAACTGATTATACTTCTAACCAAATCTCCATTTTGTTTTTATGACTGCATCCCATTCTGTAAAATTGAAAACTGACATACTAAGGGGGAAAATAATGACATGAAATGACAATTAAGTGACATGATGATTTTTTTTGACAACAACATAGACCTACAATCATAGTATATATGACCTGAAAATATTATTGTCTTAAAAAAATTAAAATACAAATGGTCATCTGAACATACACAATGTAGTAACTGGTATTACAAACCTATATCTGCTAACGTCTTTATACAAGTTTCAACATGGTACTTTTGAGATCCACTTAACCAATGGCAGTCAGACACTCTGAAAGCTCCTTGTAACAACTTAACAAAGACTGGCTGCCGGGCCTACAACATAATTATCCATAAATTAACCATGTGTTCAAACAAAACATTCCAAAATATAAATAACAATAGTGGTATAATCTGTTATATGGTACTGCTCTTTTGACTTATGATAAGGATTAATTAACTCCTTTTAAAAAACTTTTAAACTTGTTAGTTCTGGTAAGCTTGCAAAACATAATAAACACAACTTAGATCAAGCAAATTTATAAAGGATATATAATTTTTGTCTGGGAACATAATTTAATTATTAACTGTAATTGGCTTTGAACTAGCTTTCAGTAACTGTGACAGACTCTTATATGGGTACTTTGTGTTCTTAAGTTTTTTTATTAGATGTTTTTTGTGTTGATCTGATGAGTAGTCTTTTAAACTAAATTTTACAGCTTGTTCTTATGTTGTGCTGTAACAACAATGTGCAAGGGTTATGGGAGGAGGGTTGAGCAATTGCTAACATGTTTAACCCGCAACATTCTATAGGAGCCTGTTCCAAGTCAGGAGACTGTTATTCAGTGGTTGTCCTTGTTTGAGATCGCTAACAATGTTATTTTCCATATAATTTCTAATTCCAAGTGCCATAACTCCTGTAAAAATAGTTGGTATGCAGTCTTCCAAAACCATGCTGATATTGGCCTTTGAAATAAATTTCCTGCCTTTTAAAGCTACTGTATGGGTCTTGCTCATTGTTGAAGGCTGTTTAGTGCCCTAAAGTTGTTTTCATCCTGGTCCTTAGGTCTCTAGTAGATAGTTGTCTCATTGGCAATCATACAACATCTCTTTATTTACAGTTAAAACAGATACATTACCTGTAAGGCAGTTGTTTGATCAGAGAAAGGTGAACTGAAGAATGTGTATATAACGTTCATAACAGTTTCTGTAACATAATTCTCTAGGGCGATATCAGCATGTTTACGATCTGTAGTAGCTGTTGATACCTAGAAACAAAAGGTAAAGACAATCTGATTATTGTCTGACAGATAAAAAGAAATAAAAATTGTCAAAAATATTTAAAAAGAGTATATGGACCCAAAACCCATACCTAAACCTAACTCTAACCTATGACATCCCCATATCTAACCATAACCTTAAATGAACCCTAACTCTAAAGTATATGGACCCTAAACCCATACCTGAACCTAACCCTTACCTAGACATCCCCATATCTAACCATAACCGTAAATGAACCCTAACTCTAAAGCATAGGGACCCCTAATGTAAAAGAAGGTCTATTTCTTATAGTACCGTATCTGAAAACCAAGACCAAATCATGTGTATATAGATGGTGTGAACTGGGGGCATATTACTGTACGTGACATCAATATAAATTATGGCATGGAACCTTCCCTTTTCCTAATCAAATAAGTAACTGATTATATATAAATTAATGGCTGCTACGTTTTGAAAACATAATTTTGTTATGGAAATCTTAGATTTCAGAGTATAATCTTTGCAGAAAGAATATTAACAGCTGGTAGTAGGTTTCATATGCTTGGTCAAAACCATTCAACAGTTTTTTTTCAGGCTTATTAAACTTGTTGTTTTTATGATTGAAGACACACAGGTTTGAAGTGAAGCAATTGACCACAAATCAGCTGGTTTTTGATTGAATTTAATGTCGAAATTTAAAGATCAAGGTTTTACTACAGATATCACAAAAACTTAACATAATCAATAATTCATAAAAATTAGGTCAAGGTCAGATGAACCCTTCCAGATTGACATGTGCACCTAATAATCATTCCATACACTAAAATATATTTATGCTGTACCCCTATTTTTGACATTTTTACCTATTATGTCGGTTTGTTTTGTTCACACATCGTTGTCAATATTATGGAATTTTATGCGACTGTCATACAAGTGAGAGGTTTAGCTAGCTATAAAACCAGGTTTAATCCACCATTTTCTACATAAGAAAATGCCTGTACCAAGTCAGGAATATGACAGTTGTTATCCATTCGTTTGATGTGTTTGAGCTTTTGAATTTGCCATTTACTCAGGGACTTTCCGTATAGGTTGCATTTCTGTAAATATTGACAATGCAATTTCCCATAGGAACTACTTTTACGGCTAAAACTGTACCACTTTTACTATGAAGTTTTGAAAAAAATCATATCCTAGAATGGAAAGTTCATATGCACTACAATTTTTTTCAAAGGTCAAAATAAAGGGCTGTGCGGCATATTTTCAACGTTTATATGCCCCGAACTTCTAAGAGTTTAAACTAACACTAAATTTCTTAACTATCCCTACCTTGACTGTAGGATTACCACAGATTTATATATAGACAATATGCATATGTATATTTACTGGTAACATTCCCAAGTTATGTCTCTATGAGATGAAACCTAGAGATCATAACTGGGAACTAGTATGTAAACAGAATTAATTATCTATGAATATTCTATATCTCCCCAAAAGAGGCGTGGTTTGAGAAACAGCTGTATTTACAAAGTGCAACCTATACAAACATTTAATCCAATAGAAAACTCTCTAAAAACACTTTTTCTCACATTAATACTTATTTATCAGAATTATAGCCTTAAAGAAATCACTGCATAAACTCTTAAGTTTTCTTTTACTGTTCATTTGATACCCCCTCCCCTGTTTCAATCTTTTAAAGAATTTGAAAACAAGACTTTAATTATTGCCAGCTTACCCTATTTGCATGTTTTCTGACATGAAATGCCTAGAACCTGTTTAAAACTGTTCTGATAACATATTGAAAGCATTTAAGAATACTGTAAATGTTATGTTTAGCAGTCAATCATTCCAACATTCAAGATTATATAAAGTATCAAATCCTGCCTGTGTCGCCAGTCCACATTTTACTGTATGCCTATTTGTCAATGAAAGTTCACAATTTCTGCCTCAAATGGTCAGTTTAGAATTCTTGTCACAACAGTATCATCTCTAACCATACATCTGACATAATTTAGCTAATATATGAGCTAGAAGTGTTAAAACAAAGCCATATTTGCAATAGTTGTATGTATGCAGATACCAGTCTGATGTATAAATTCACTTAAAATTTTATAGAAGTGACTGCTAACATCTAATTTTTGCATAACTTCCAAGCACAGGTATTGTTTTCTATAAAAAGACCTTTATAATCATAAAATCATAGCATTTACAAGTTAAATAATTTGTTTTATGACCCAGGGGTAGGCAATTTTCTCTGTTTTTTTGCCCCTGGGGTCTCAAATTTCCTAAATTATTCTGCTGTTTCTAGCAATATGGAATATTTAATACATATTCAGGATAGAACACACTATTGTAAGTTTTGTTGAGATATTTTTGTATTTCTAGCTTGTATTTTTTATGCCACGGTGACAAAAAAGCAGATTTAGGCATTACGGCTTACTTTTGGGTTATCGACAGGACAAAAACACCCCACCAATAATATTCAGGAAGGATCTATGAGTTTCAATGACTGCGAAGAGTAAATATAAGCACTTCTAAACAATTTAACTTACAAATATGCATATATTATGATTTTTTTTTGCATTCAGGGCTTTAAGTAAACTATGCATACCGTAAACTGTGAATTTATGCTGAGTCATCATAGTTAAAAGCCCAGGATTTTCTCAATCTTCATGAAATATTTATAAAACTTCATATTTGAGTAAATTTCTTTAAAATCTGTGAGATAAACCAAATTTGGTTAAATTCTGTATGTTCTCTTTTTTCACCCAAAATAGGTTGCATTTCTGTAAATATTGACAATGCAATTTCCCATAGGAACTACTTTTACGGCTAAAACTGTAACACTTTTACTATGAAGTTTTGAAAAAAATCATATCCTAGAATGGAAAGTTCATATGCACTACAATTTTTTTCAAAGGTCAAAATAAAGGGCTGTGCGGCATATTTTCAACGTTTATATGCCCCAAACTTCTAAGAGTTTAAACTAACACTAAATTTCTTAACTATCCCTACCTTGACTGTAGGATTACCACAGATTTATATATAGACAATATGCATATGTATATTTACTGGTAACATTCCCAAGTTATGTCTCTATGAGATGAAACCTAGAGATCATAACTGGGAACCAGTATGTAAACAAAATTAGTTATCTATGAATATTCTATATCTCCCCAAAAAGAGGCGTGGTTTGAGAAACAGCTGTATTTACAAAGTGCAACCTATAGAATTATCCTCGGAGTTCGGTATTTTTGTAATTTTACTTTTTAACATATTGCCTATAGTATCTGAAAAATAGACCTAACCATGAAAACTTAATGTTGACCAATGAACCATGAAAACAAGGTCAGGGTCAGATGAAGGCAGTACAGCTTACAATCTTTCAAAACACCAAATTTTGCGCAACAATACAACAAATATACCTGACCTAATGCTTTTACAGATTACCCTTTATCTTGTAATACTTATTTGCATAATTTAGTTGGGTCAATATCCCTAATGCACCTCAAATTGAGGAACTCAAAAATAGAACGTAAACAAAAACGCCCTATGCAGGGATATTGGACGTGTCTCAATTTTTAACAAGTGACTGAGCTTAATCATTTGTGCAGATTTGAAGATCAGAGCAGAAGAGTATTAAATGTATGCAAAGAACTTATTGTGTGAAAATACACAATTTCCTGTTCATCCATAATAAAACAAAATCTGGTTATTTGCATAGCAAGTAGCTTTTAGGTTTTAGCTGCATTTAAAAAGTGGTATTTTTTACCAGAAAAGAGAGTCAGGTAAGTTTGACTACACTATAATTTGATTGTTCCGGTTTTGAACTTTTCCCAAGGGAGACAATCATGATCAGCGATAATTAGCTAATCGAATTCAATATTTCCTGTGAGCACATTTTCATCTAATTAATAGGCCATAGTAAAAAAGCAAAGATTAAAACTTTTTTGGAACTTTTGAGTTATATTCCTCTGTCTGTATGTCAGAATGGAAAAAATTGTGATTATGGAGGATTATCATTTTTTGCAACAATGTTCTTATGCCGCCTAAGAAGATAGAAGTGGCTGATTGTCAAATTCAACAAAAGGGATTGATATCACATGGCTTTTGCAAAGTCTGCAGCATTGACCACGATGACCTGAATGACCATTCCAAGCATGCAAAGACTGTTAAATATAACCTCATCAGAAGTCCCTCATAGCTCAGAACAATACAAAGTCAGTGAGTAACCTCCTAGTTCCACCAGATAATGAGCAGCTCAAGACGATCTATCAAGCATGAACAGTTAAAAAGGAACTGTTCATAAGACATTTGCATTGCTTTGAGTTAAATCAGACTATTAACATATGAATCAAGTTTAATACAATAAAGTGTGCTTACTTTGATGCAATTTGAGTTACACTGCTACAATGAACATATTACATAGTAGCTCATATGGACAATACAGTTATTGTAACAGATCCTAAGTGCTGTTATTCTTGTTATAAAATTATTAAATTTTTTAAAGTATGGTCTTTAATTTTTCTCATGGAATCAGTTAAATGCCTTTCTTTGTCAACATGTATAAATTGGAAAATTCACAAGAAAATATTTTGGTTTTTCCAAGACACTATGATATAAGTTTCGTAAAAATCTGGCAAGAATTGTACACATGAGAGCGCTAACAATGCAATTTTCCATATAATTAATGTTTCCAAGGGGCATAACTCTTTTTAAAATAATTGATCGGCATTGATTTTCGAACTCGGCCAAGACATTGCTAATATAAACCTATGATATGAGTTTCATAAGAATCTGGCAAGAATTGTACACATGAGAGCACTAACGATGCAATTTTCCATATAATTAATGTTTCCAAGGAGCATAACTCTTTTAAAAATAATAGATCGGCATTAATTTTCGAATTTGTCCAAGACATTGCTAATATAAACCTATGATATAAGTTTCATAAAAATCTGGCGTGAATTGTACAGGTGAGAGCGCTAACAAGGCCGTTCAGACGCCCAGT